TCATGTCAAAATTCAACTGCCGGAACGGGTCTCATTCTTCATCCCCTCCGCCATCCGATCTTTCTTCGCATATCGAAGGAACACAATGCACTGGATAAAGTCCCGCCTATTCAAACGTCTCAAAGGAGCAACGTAGTTCGAGACTCGCCTAAGCTCGCTTGGCCTTGGATCGGCCTCGCCCATGTCTGGCGAGAAGAACACCACCACCACCACCAACACCCCTCCCCCATGCGCGTCCTCACAAGCGAGGAAAAATGCCCCGACCCGTGACGGCTTCAGATAGTGCCATTCAGGGTCCTTTCCTCGCCCCCTCGTCGTCCTCCTCCCAAACCTGCCTCGCATATGTGTTGTCCGTTGCTCTGTTCCCCTCCCCCACATCCCCGAGACTGCGAGACTTTTTGCCTGCAACCAACGACACCCAGGTTTGGCGAAACCGCCACCGCGGCTTACACGCTCGCCGCCGAGTGACCAGCCGGCGAAGCGCCTTCTCAACCGGGCCTGTTTAATTCCCCGTAGCATTCCTCCGACCCGTCGTCCGTCTTGGGGTATCGAAGCGCGCGGCGTTGACTTCTGATCGTAGGCTAGCCGATGTGGCGGTCGTGTTTGCTGGGTTTCTTTGTCTGTTTCGTGAGGATTGGTGGACAGCTCTAGCGGTGATCTTGAGGCATAAGCTTCCTCCTGCACCGGCTGATGGGCAAAAAAGCATCACGCTGCCACCGTGTACGTTGTTCTCCTTGGTGGCGGTCTAGAGCCGTCCAGTTTCGGGACGTGTAATGCTAAGCAGCCCGCCTCCCTCCGGGCCTCCGGGCTAAAACATCAAACATTCCAACGGGACATGGCGTGAGAGATACGGACAAAGAAAAAAGGGGGCCTGCAGTGTCGACGGAGTATCCTCCGAGCGACCTTCTCCTGAACTAACTCGCCCGGTTGAGCATCTTGAGCCTCGACGGGTGTGGATGTGGTTTGGATGCCTTCTAGTTCCCGCTGTTGAGGCTTGCTCCGGTCGTAAATGGGGGGTTTTGTATGCCAGCCAGAGAACCGGACGGGATAAGTGTCCTTCCAAGCCGTGACGGTGAGCTTGTCATTGCTTGCTACCCCTGAGAAGTACTGTAGTTCGTGGGGATAGTGCCCCCAGGGGCTTTTGCTACAGTCGCGTGATGTGATGCTGGGAGAAGCCTCCCCTCTCGTTTTCTCCCTGTCCGCCGCCGCCGCCTCACAAGCCATCAACCAACGGCGGCGCCTCAACGAAAACGGCCTCGTACCAGCGTTTGAGGTTCCCGCAGCCCGCCGCGTTCGCGGCGGCCGTCGTCTTGCCGCAGTTGGCCTTGAGCACGACGTCCCACATGGCCCTCTCGACGTCGAACCCGCTATCCCGCACCAGCTTCTCGTCCGGCCCCCATAGCCGGCCTGGCTTGCCCTCATCGTCGAGGCGGAACATGGGGTCGCTGGCGTCGCCGACCTTGAACAGGTCGATCTTGAAGAGGTTGTGGTGGATGAAGAGGGGCGCGGCCTTCTTCGCGGCCGGGGGCTCGCGGGCGTGGTCGGCGTCGAGGTCCGCGCCCGAGAACCCGCCCTGGAGGCGGAAGTCGGCGGCCGGGTCGGCCTGCTTCATGCCGGCGGTCTCGAAGGTGCCGTTGATCCAGCGGCCGAGGACGGTGTCCGGGGTGCGGACGTCGTAGAAGGGCTGGGACAGGGCGAGGGCGGCCTGGGCGAAGGTCTCCTTGTCGCCCTCGCCGGGGGCGTGCTGGGAGAGGAGCGGGTAGTAGACGTCCGGGCCGTGCCAGTTGTAGTAGGTGGCGAGGAGGAGGCTCTCGGCGTGGGAGCGTTTGTCGTAGAGGAGGATGCCGGACTCGGAGCTGCGGCGGCGGAGGGTGGGCGGCGCGGAGGAGTTTGAGATTGTGTGGAAGTGCGGGCAGATTGTGGTGAGCCAGAAGTCGGGCCAGGTGATGAGGCCGCGGGAGAGGAAGGGCTCGGAGGTGAAGAGGCGGTCGGGGGAGGAGATGGGCCAGGCGTCGGAGTCGAGGTAGAGGACCTTCTCGAAGGGGGAGAGGAGGATGGAGAGGACCTTGTACTGGTAGTGCTGGACGCCGTCGGACGGGCGGAGGAGGGAGGAGAAGAGGACGCACTCGGCGTTGAGTTTGGGGAGGACGGTGTGGCAGAGGTGGGGGTCGGCTTCGGCGGGGGAGTCGAGGAAGAGGTGGACGGGGAGGTTGGAGCCGGAGCGGCGGAGGAGGAGGAGGGAGGTGAGGGCGGTGCCGAGGTAGCCGCCGCCGGCGGTCATGACGACGCCGGAGGTGCCTTTCCACACGGGGAGTTGGGGGCTGAGGGAGCGGAGGGCGGAGACGTAGGCTGAGTGGGATTCTGTGAGGGCGGCGAGGTCGGTGTCCGTCAGGGGGATATTGTCGGGCCGCGGGGAGGTGTTGTCGTTCTTTGAGGCGTCGAGGTCTTCTTCAGTTGGATCGCGGACGGACCGAAGGGGCTCGGAGACGGAGGGGGCTGTCTTTTGGAGGAGGGTGTGGAGGGAGGACCAGAAGTGTTGCGTGCGTGGGGCGAGGAGGTGTGATGTCGCGTTGCGGGATGTCGTGAAGATTGGGGACGGGGACAGGGGGTTGGCGAGGCGGTGGTTGAGGTAGAGGAGGGAGAAGATGAGGGGGAGCAGGAGGAGGAGGAGAAAGGGTCTGCGGCGGTGTTTGGGAAAGAGCATTTTTGTGGATGTGGTGTTGGCGTTGGTGATGGTGATGTCAAGGTTTGGTGTAGATCTCGTGAAGTCCGGATGTTTGAGGTCTAGACTAGTCAAGGTTGACTGCTAGGTTTGCTAGTTATGGGAATTCGAGAATCGGTCATGCGTCAAATACGAAGAGCTGGGTGTGTCTTCGCTATCGAGATGTCGTTCGAGTGTCAGGCGGATATCTCGTTGACAGTGTAGACCAAAGACTGATCTTGACTAGCTCCGTCAAGCCGAGTTAATCTCAGATTTGGTCTTGAGTCTCTGCGTTTGCGACTGCGGCCCTGAGCCTTCGAACAAGATGTTTCCAGACGTAGTTGTTGTTGGGTTGTGTGGAAGACCAGGTACCTTTTCCGTCTTGCCAGATTTTCTTTGACTGATCGTAGCCCTCGTTGGTTGCCCCTAGTTTGCCAAACCTTCTTTTTGCTTTGGCTTGTATCAAACGCTTTAATGCCTTGACGGTTACCCAAAATCCGCCAAGGCCCTCAGATACCGTTTGTCGCAATACCTGATGTCTGTGACCTCCTCTCTTCGGATGACAGACTATCGAAACCGTCGTTGGTTGTCTTAAGCCACCAGATATCCCCAAAGCCTCGGTCTCAATGTCGCAGAAATGTGCAACTGAGTCTGCGATTTCGGATGGGGCAATTGTGAAATCGTGGATGATAATCCCCTGCCTGCATTCGGGTCCGATTATACAGCTATCGAGACTTGTTTCGTGACGGTAGGATTCCGATGTTCTCGACTGAATGGTAAATGATGACGCTGGAGAAATTTCTAGAGTCCCGCAAGTTGTCAGATTGCAAAAGAAGGCTGGATGGGCTGAGTTGTCAGCACAGCATCGCGCTGACGTACCGGAGGAGGCAGCGATTGGCAGGCAGCAGGCTTCTCGGGAGACAGAAGGATCCAGAAGCTGAGATGTCTTTTGCTGTCTGTCTTGTTCTTACAGAAACTTGGGGAAACGTTGGACGGGTTGCAGTATCGGGCGTTGCCAAGCAAGGATGACGATCCATTATATATCACAGTGGCGCTTGTTTTCTCATTTCTTCAAAGACCACGCACTTCTGCAATTTTCTCACACGCTCTCTCGCCTGCCCTGTCTTATCTAGCTCGTAATGCAGTAATTTCCTAGGGTCGTGACACCGCGGCGGAAAATGTGACGAGGGATGCGAGCAAGGGTACGTGAGCACAATGAGTAAAGGCTCGGGCACTTGAGCATCGACAAGGCCATGATTGGCAGATTGGGACGAGTAAGCTTGCTTGGGATTGCTGCAAGGGTGTCGATTGACGAAGGACGCGCAAACTTGGATGAAAGAAACACGAGGCATTTGGCATCAAGCGATTTGGGACCAGTTGCCCGGGGTGGCTGTGACACAAAAGCTGGCGATGGGGATAGGGAGCTATTGAGGATTCACGACCGGATCTTCGTGTGCTCCTCGTATGTCTGGGCGCAAGGTGCTTAGTGGCCGGCCCTGCCACACTCAGACTGTCCCCCCATCAGGCTGTCAAGAAAAGCTTGAGGGCGCAGAGATACAGGCCAGGGATGGTGTGATGATGCCTAGAGTGGGTGTTCATGGTGCATGGTTAGAGCCATGCGGGCTGACAGCGCAACGGGGACCCTGGCGATGTCTGATAGGACACTCTCTTAACCAAGCTAATCAAGCATCAGCGGGCCGGGAGACGCGAGGTGCTTCCGGCGCTGATGAGGCCGCGATACGAACGGCCGGATATGTATGTATGGGATGGACGTTGCAAGAGGGTTTGTTGATCTCTGTTCCAGGTTGGGATTGAAAGACAACCTCCTTTTGGCGAGCTGGGCACGGACGGCTGCGAGCAGAAGGGACGATCGAGAGTCTTGGGACGAGATAGCGAAGTACTTTGTCATGTGTGGTGCAGGCCATCAAGGTTGAGGTAGAGAATTAGCTGGGAAATAGGCAGTGGATCGAAGGCGCGGGTAGAAGTGGGACCCGGCAGGGATCCCCACCACTAAACGGCGGGGCGTGGGTGAGGTGACTGCGAACACTGAAAAAGCTGCAACGGCTGCAACCTGAAATCGCTTGCTGCTCAGGGCGGTGGCGCCCGGCAGAACTTTTTCGCTGCCAAACTTTTTGGGACTCTGCAGCCAGCAAAAGCAGTAGCATCAGTGCGCTGGGTTGAGCGACGAACGGGAAAGGCAATTTTTGTAACGGAAAAAGAAACGCCATTCTTCATCTTTGAATTGATTTCCTCACGATTTTACATACTTACCTTCGGGAGCACATAACCACTGAACATAATGACAAAAACGGCGAGCGCAAAGCGCAAGCGCGCCGAGAGGGAAGCCCTCAAGGCCGCCGAACAAGCAAACAAGCGCGCAAAGACGACCGACGGCAGCAGCACCCCCGATGATGCGACCGCCGACGCCCCGCGGGCCAATCTGCCCAAGGTCGTCCTGGAGAAGAAGCTCTTCGTCGAGAACTCCACCGGCAAGGACCGCGTGCGCGAGGCGAAGCTCTACGAACTCCTCAGCAGCGAGAACGAGACGGACCGCATCGAGGCCGCCGGGGCCATTATCTCGAGCCTGTTGGACGGCGAGGGCGTGACGGAGGCTTGTCTGGAGAGGCATCTCGACTGGCGCCTATTCAGAGGCCTCGCGAGCGGACGCGCCGGGAGCAGATTGGGATACAGTCTGGTGCTCACCGAGATCCTGAGCCAGCTGCTGGGCCCGCCGAGGAATCTCGCCAAGGAGAGGTATACCGGCCTCACCTTCGAGAAGGTCCTGGGCATGCTCCTCGAGAGGACGCATGTCGGCGGGAACATGCCGGGCCAGGAGGAACGGGATCTCTGGTTCGGACAGCTCTTTGGCCTGGAGTGCTTCGTCCGCGCGCGCGTGCTGTTCGAGGCCGAAGACGGTCCCGAGCGGTGGAACGAGGTCTTGAGGTTGCTTGTAAGGCTGGGCAACAAGAAGGTCTGGCTGCGCCCGCAGTGCGGATGGGTTGTTGCGCAGGCACTGGCCCAGCTGGACCGCAGCCGCATCGAGATGGTGCTGCAGCAGCTGGTGGAGCTCGGCTGGGCCAAGACACCTGAGGGTGTTGGGATCTGGCTGATTGCGCTTGAGCAGTGCCCCGAGCTGAAGAGCGACGACCAGTCGAAGCCGCAGCACCACCCGCTGTCGTCGCGGAACCTGGGCGACCTGGCGACGATTCTAAAGGAGAGCAGCGCGAACGAGGAGCAGGCGGAGAAGGAGAAGCAGATGTCGCAGAGGGGGCAGAAGAACAAGCAGGCCAACTGGACGCCGCAGCTGCACTTTGTGTGGGATCTCATCACTGTGCACTTTGCCAAGTTGGGCAGCGAGCATGTTGAGGAGTTTAGGACGTTTTGGAAGAGGGTTGTCGATGGTAAGTCGGGGATTTTTGCGACTTCTTACTCAAATCACACATAATGTGCTAACATCTCGGTCTGCAGACAACTTCTTCGCAAAGGCGGCGACCGAAGGCCAGAAGTTCCGAGGCTTCTTGGTGTTCCAGAAGATGCTCCAGGCGTACATCAACAACGACGAGTTCCTCGACGTCCTCTTCAGCCGGAACGTAATGACCTGCCTCATCAACCAGGCGTCTCAGGTGGACCGATATCTGCACCGCGCGGCGCTGAAGACGTTGAAGACGATCGAGGAAGCCTCCGCGTCGCACCCCGAGGCCACGGGCATCATTCTCGACAACCTTATTAGCAACAACGGATTGTACAGGTTCGACGTCATGACGAAGACCAAGACGGTCGACAAGATTCTGCAGCACGTGCAGGCTGAGACGGGCGAGGATATCATTCAGGTCCTCAGTGGCCCTGTCATGAAGACGGCCACCTCTGCCAAGGACATCAACACCGTCAAGCTTGACCTCCGCGTGTACATCGACTACCTCTTCCGCTTGACCACTTCAGCCCCAGAGCCCTCACTCCAAGAGCTGACTTCTCTCGCCTACGCCAAGCTCGTTTGGATCCCGGAGAACGCCAACGCTCTGGTTCAGGAGCTGTCAAGGAACCGTCTCCAATCCGCATTTGCCAAGCTCTCCCGCAAGGCCGAGGAATCAAACTACCTCTGCACGGCGGTCCAGTCCATCAACCCCGACTACATCCGCATGGAAGGCGACATGAAGAAGGAGGTCAACCAAGCCCGCAAGCGCCTGGAGAAACTCATGAAGAAGGGCGCCGGCGCCGGCGAGGGTGCTGCCGACGACGTCAAGATTGCGCAGGGCCTGGCTTTGCTGCACGCTATCGCCATCTTCCAGCTGTACAACGAGGAGCCGGACGCGTTCCAGCTCCTGAGCGATTTGAAGGAGTACCAGTCGCGCCTCCAGGAGGACGAGGAGGGTGCTGCAGAGTTCTTGGTCGAGATCCTCCTCGCGCTCGTGTCGCAGCAGTCTGCGCTCATGCGTGAGGTATCGCAGCGCGTGTTCGGATACTTCACCAGCCGCGTCTCCCCCAAGGCTCTCGAGCTCCTGCTGGATGTCCTCGCGGCTGACGAAAGCGCCAAGGGCCAGCAATCCCTCTTCGACGTGAACGACGATGATGACGTCGAGGAAATGGAACAGGATGGGGATGAGGAGGAGGAGGATGACGACGAAGACGAGCTCGGCTCAGATTTCGAAGTCGACTCGGACGTGGAATTCGTCACCCTCAACGCCGGCGACGCCGAAGACGACGACGACGGCTCCGAGGCCGAGGACGGGGACGACGAAGAGGCCAAGAACCTGGAGGCCCTCGACGACGCCCTCGGCAAGATCCTCAACAGCCACCGCCTCGACAAGGACCAGGAGGCCGACTCGTCCGACGACGACGCCGACATGAGCGACTCGGACATGCTCGAGCTCGACAACAAGCTCGCCGAGGTCTTCAAGCAGCGCGCCAAGGCCGCGCCGAGCAAGAAGAAGGAGCGCAAGGCCGCCAAGGAGTCCGTTGTCAACTTCAAGCGCCGCGTGCTCGATTTGCTCGAGATCTTTGTGCGCAACGAGGCCGGCAGCCCCACGACGCTGGCGGTCCTGCGCCCGCTGCTGGAGCTGGTCCGCACGAGCACCATCAAGACGCTCGCGGACCGCGCGTTCGAGCTGATTAAAGATTACCAGAAGCGGCTGCGCAAGGCGCGCTCCTCTGCCGCGGCTGGCAAGGTCGATAAGGAGGAGGCCCTGGAGGTGTTGAAGGGGGTGTATGAGGAGCTGAAGGCGGGCGAGACGAAGGCGCATGCCAAGGCTGCCGTGCCGGCTTGTCTTATTGCCGCGTCGAGCGTTTTCCACGCGTACAAGGGCGACAGGAAGGTTGTTGATGCGGTCGTGGGGGCCGTGGAGAAGGGTGCTGCTGGCGGGGTGCAGGGCGAGATGAAGAAGGCATGGGACGAGTGGTGCCGGAACCACGAGACGCTCAAGAAGCAGGGCGAGAAGAAATAGAAAAGGGAGCAGGACGTGTGGGGATCATGTGTTTACGGCGTCGGGGTTTTGGGAAAAGACTTTGATTTAATAGAAAAGACGGCCGCGCGGGCTGTTTGATTTTGGTAGAGCATCATAGATTTTTTTTAATGTCTAAAAGATGTTTTCTGCGTTACTTATACCTCTAAAACCATTGGATTGTTTCCTGTGAAATTTCCTGCATTGGTGTTAACGGTATTACCAACTAATTAACTCCCTCCTTTATACTACCAGTACCCAAAATCACGGGACAAATTACATTCAACATTTCAGACTCACCATCCCACACCCTTATCCGCGATGGCAAAGCTCATCCAAGGCGCTCTCGGCCAGCCATGCCACGAAGATAGTTCCTAGGCTCGTCCTCTTCTTCAATCGAGTAAAGAGTCGATGACAGCAGACGGCGAGGGGGTGGCAGATACGTAGGAACCAAGATGGCGCTATTTCTTACCATGCGCATGCGGAACGAGCGTTCGTGGAAATCCCCGTTTATTCCGTTTTTCTCTACGTCTTGTGCCAGAGGCGAGGAAGGCAAAGCTTCTGCGTCTTCGGGGGTTGGGCTGTCAACGTCAAAAGTGACTGGGTGCAGGGCGAGGGGATCGTACGGCAGGTTAGCCGAAGATTTGATCTGCTCCTCCATCTTGACCACAGATTTTGTCTCCATTACGTATTCCGCGTCTACCACGGCCTCCGTGGATATGTTTCTCGGACCAAGCCGCGCTGGGTCCCGCTGGGGCATCGCCTGGTTGAAAGACTTGCATCTAAACAAGGTTGATTCCGGCGGGTATTGATAGTGAATCATAGGCAGGGACATTGCGCGTTGTCTCGGGGCATCAGTAGCAATGCGACCGCAGCGGAAGATTGAGACGCACTCTTCGATGAATTCGCGAATTGCGGAGACCATGGTGGCAAGTGGGTGATGTTGCGATGCTGGGTGTTTTGGACCTGCCATGATGTCAAGCGGTTCCAGATGATACCGGATACTTATGCTCATACTCTACAGAGCAAGAATTAAAAAGGTCACCTATCGTTTTTGTTTCCCGAAGAATATCGCGGCAGCGAGGTGGGAGATATGGCCGCGAGGCTGAACAACGCGTTGTTCAGTGGAGGTGGGGGCTCTTCATAGTTGCCTACTCGGCCGAGGAACGGATCTGTTGGCCCATTGTTAGGGCTGCTGTCATATTCCTCTTTGTGTGAGCATGACCTGCTGAGTATCGGGCAAGTGAGGTTGAGGTTGAGATGACAAAGAAGCAAGTACATCTGGGCCTCGACGACTCGACCGAAGTTTCGTACATGCTGCTAAGGGGGGTCATTCCAAGAGACTAGTTGGATTTCGATCAGGTCCAACGGTTTCACGTGAAGCTGTTCAATAGCTCTGCAGTGATTCACTAACGTCTTCCGATTTAGGCAGTTCGCCACTCAATCGCCGGTCCCGTAGTGGGTCACCGGCTCGGGGCCGGGAGAGGCATGGGTCCGGGGTCCTCCCGAAAGCAATGACCCGATGTTCGGCTGGACAGGGTCTGAATGAGGTAGATAGAATAAGGTAGCCGAGCCGCGCATGAGTAATTGTATGAAACTTGGACATGGGCAACTTGCAAGGTGCGTCAACAACTACGCGACCAACCGCCTCATCCCACTGGTTTCCTTCCGTCTGCCTCGCTTATCCGAGCGTTTAGTTGACAAAGCAGCGTCAGGAGCGATGAACAATGGAGAAAAGGGCACATTCAGACCTCGTCCTCTTCTTTTTCGATTAATTGGGAACGTAATGATTCTCAATCCGGTCAAACATTATCCCTTAGTGACTTGCTCAAAGCTTTCTTTTTCCATTATGGTTACTCATTGTTGTTTTCCCGAGTTCATGGATGATCAGCCTCAAAGACTCAAATGCTTCGGAGAGGATGATTGTCGAAGCTTCTTTCAATCCAAGCGCACAAGCATTACTGGTCTATACCATGGACTTGGCGCCGCCTACATGATAAATCCATGTGTTGCCTATCGGATGTCTCCACGATGGACATTCTTTCCAGATCCCAATAATTACTCCAATATTTATTGCAGCCGGTAACTTACTGTATATTCTTACGCAGCAAAGCTTCTTTACAGCTGCGGTAGAAGTCATCATTATCAAAATGTGTATCCAACTATGGCGCAGATATTTCTGCCCCAAAGCACCCGACTTTGGACCTCTGCCAGCAAGCGCTTTTACAGTACCGCACCCCAGGCCAAGCACATCCGGACACCCACACCATCTGGTGAACCAGGAAGAAAACATCTTCAGGGAAAATTGGGAGGATCCCCAAGACCAGGTCCCTAATGGCAAGCACATCCACTGGACGGCAAACTGGATCCGCTGCTCCCATAATTATCATCGGCAATGCGAGGATCTCTCGAATGATATGAAGAAGATCCAGTACATCGGCACCGCATGCCCGTTCTGCAAAGGAGACATTGACGTTCATGTCGAGAGGCGAGAAGACGTCTTTGGCGAGTGGGACATACACCCCAAGATCCCGGTGGAAAACGACCCCGACCAGCAGCTGGCCGCTAGGTTCGATGCCTACAAGGAGTATTACATTCTCAGGCTCCTCCTGCTCATGCACCGAATCTTGACGAGTCCGTACCCCATCGCCTCCGAGAGCTTGGAATGGAGCCAGATCATCGACACTTGCTGGCAAGAGACCTTCTGCAAAGTGTTATTCAGTCATACTGGACACGCCATGGAAGTGTGCGACTGCCCCTCGACCAAGGAGGAGTGGCGCGTCAACCCAGCCATCACGATGAGAAAGAACGAGGCGGAGTCCGTCCTTGAGGGTATCGACAAGATACCTCGCGGCCAGCGCGAACGATTCTGGAGGGGGCGTATCTTCAGATACGACGCAGCCACCAACGTTTACACAGAAGACTGGACAGTCACCGACAGAGCACGACAAATCTACGGCCTGTATCGTGCCAGCGACTTCCCCGAATACCAGATGCAGTACGTCGACGTCGACTTCGACGCCTGTGCCAGACGGTACGACAGGCTCGTAGACCTCGGGGACGACTGCCACGAGGAACTAATCAAACGGGGGCCCCAGGTCTCGCAAAGCTACCCGTACAACAACGCCACCTTCCACACACGAAGGGTCCAGTGGATGGACCTGGACAATTGGCCGTCATCGCTTCTCCGTCGCGAGACGCTTTTGCAGTGGATGTTCATGTTCCTCGCGTACGACGCAGGGCTCGACGAGGAGGTCATGATGTACCTAGGCGGCGCTCTCCTCGCCATCCTGAATCCCTACCCGTCGATTCGGACAAGATCGCACCCGTCGCATAAGAAGCCGGAGTGCCTCGACCCGGACCTCGCCGCTTGGGATGTGCTGCAGGAGTGCGTCTTCGAGCTCGAGAACCACTGGCCTCTGCTCGCTCGCAGGAGCGAGATCCAGGACAACCTCTACGACGCCGCGCACGAGACGTCGACCCTGGTGAAGTTGATCAGGCGCAACAGACGCATCATCGTGAACGACATCAACTCCCGGAACCACGCAGCCGATCGTGGCGTCAAGGCCTTTGCGGTCAAGCCGCAAGAGGCTATCAATCAGGGACAGACGCAGTGCTCGGTGTGTACGGACACGTGGGGCTCGCAGCCGTTCCACCAGCCGGTCAAGATGCCGTGCTGCAAGGCGTTTGTCGGGGCCCGGTGTCTCAAGCAGTGGCTGGCGTCGAGGCCGCTTCGCGGGGCCGAGGAGGACGTTTCCGAGGACGATAGCACGTGGGCGCAGGGTTGGAATTGCTTGCTGTGTCGGGCTCCGATAGGCGACAAGTTCCGGCCGAAGCTGCGTGAGTATCAAAGGCTTGGCCCGGATGATCTTCGAGATTTGGCCTTCAACAATGTGTCGAAGAGTTTTGAACAGCCAACGTGGTGGTGGGGGAGTAAGCTCTTGGAACATCAGATAAATGGAGGACCATCTCAATCCTAGAGTGGCTTCTCTTTCGAAGACTTGGACGGGATTCTTAGGCGCAGGGGTTTGTCATTTGGGGTATACGTGTTTGCTATATAGATCGCGAGATGCATGGGAAATCTTTCGGGGCAAAACAGCTTCAAATCATGTAAGAGACAGAGTATTTTTGCAGGTCATTTAAACCTTACCTTTGGTGATGATGGGAAATGAGTGCCCACTGCAGATGTCTTGGTTGAAGTCTCTCACCGAGCCTCACCTTGCTGACCGAGGGACGTTGTCGAACGGGGAGGCACCGTTGTGTGGCTTACATAAGACATATAGGCCGCACAATTAAGGGAGCAGATCTGGATCAATCTAGGCCCAAGAGGGACTGGTGCGATTTAGGAACCCCTGTCCGGAACCTTCTCCTTTGAGTCTCTTTTTGCAAACGGGTGTCCCCTGGGCCGCAGCAGCAGCAGCAGCGACCCTTTGCGACTGGCCCCCCGGTTGAAGGCAAAAAAGTTCCCTTGTCCAACGGGAAATTCCATCTCCTTTGAGATTTCTCCTTGCCCAAGAGACCACATTTCCCATTTGCAAGTCTCGGGAAAATTTTCTTTTCTCTGGGCAGCCAGTTTTCTGCTCTTTAGCATTCGGATTCGCAGGGAGGCAAAGTCTTTTGTCAACCTTTTGGGAGGAAACAGAAAAAGAGGACAGAGAGGTAGGTTATGTTCGTTTTGTTTGATTGGTGGTTCATGCGTTGTGTGTTGCTTGCTGTTGTTGTTGCTTCGCTGGCAGCTCCATGCCACATGCTCCCCACGCCCCCATTCGAGAAGCTAAAGCTAATAACACCTGGCATCCTCAGGACTCGACACCGAGACTCTCCCATATTTCGGCCGTCCCCGTGCCGCATCTCGTCGACTCTTTGGCATAGTACTCTGGTTCTGGTTATGCAAGGATGAGGTTCAGTGTGCTGTCTATTGGCCTCTTGGCCCTCCTGTCGCCCTTGACCGCGGCCTGGAGCAAGGAAGGTGAGCAAACAATTGCACCCGCAGACACAAAGCACATTGTGCGACACAGATGCTGACAAGAGACACAAATAGATCGCGAGATCTTCCGCATCCGTGATGAGATCAAGGCGCACGAGCCCAACGCCGACGCGACCTTCTACGACCTGCTCGGCGTCAAGAATGGCGCCTCCATCGACGACATCACCAAGGCCTACCGCAAGATCTCCCGCTCCCTCCACCCTGACAAGGTCCGTCAGCAGCTCATCGCCGAGCGTGCCAAGGCCAAGAAGGACAAGAAGAAGAAGCCCGGCGTCAATGTCTCCAAGCCCCCTACCCAGAAGGAGATCAAGGCCGCTGTCAAGATCGCCTCCGACCGCCAGGCCCGTCTCGGTCTCGTGCGCAACATCCTGAGCGGCCCTGACCGCGACCGGTACGACCACTTCCTCCGCAACGGCTTCCCCGCCTGGAAGGGCACCAACTACTACTACAACCGCTACCGCCCCGGTCTTGGCACTGTTCTCTTCGGAGTCTTCCTCGTCGCCGGCGGTGCCTTCCACTACATTGCCCTGTACATGTCATGGAAGCGCCAGAGAGACTTCGTGGAGCGCTACATCAAGTTTGCGCGCAATGCTGCTTGGGGTGACAACCTGAACATTCCCGGTATCGACGATGCCCCCGCCCCTGCGCCCGCCCCGGCTGCTGCCGAAGACGACGAGGACGCTCCCCCCATCCCGAGAAACCGCAAGGAGCGCCGCATGCAAGAGCAGGCCGCTCGCAAGGGCGCCGCTAAGGAGGGCAGGGGCCGTGGCCGCAAGCCCGCCGGCAGCGGCACCGCAACTCCCCGCGAAACCGCCGTCGCCCAGTCCTCCGGCCCAACTGGAGCCAAGAAGCGTGTTGTTGCTGAGAACGGCAAGATTCTCGTTGTCGACTCTGTCGGCGACGTTTACCTCGAGGAGGAGAACGAGGACGGCGAGGTGGAGCAGTTCCTGCTTGATGTAAGTTCTGATCGCCGCGTGTAGTGTCAAGCTAGAGCTTGACAGGCACGATCTCCGCTATGCAATGGCCCAAATCTCGGGTGATGCTAACTCAAAGAACAATAGCCCAACGAGCTTCCTCAGCCCACCATCCACGACACCGCGCTCGTCCGCCTCCCCATCTGGGCCTACAACCGCACCGTGGGCCGCGCTCTCAACAAGGAGACCGAGGAGGTCGCACTCGAGACTGAGGAGTTCGACTCGGACGACGGCAACGCCCAGCACACTCCCAGCTCCGACTCAACCGCTGACGACTTTGAACTTCTGGAAAAGTCGACCGACTCCCTTGGTAAGGCCAAGGCTAGCGGCGCGCAGACCGGCAAGGCCAACAAGCGCAAGAACAAGAAGAGGTGATGGGGGCGCCTGGGGAAGACGGAGGGGAAAGCATGACAAGCCTTTCTCCTGTTGCGCATCGTCGCCAAGGCCGTGACAGCTCGTGTGGCTCCACGATTGGCCGCGGAAGGCCCAGACACACGACGGAAAGTTGCATGACGCATCACGAAAGCTGTTGATCTTTTGCTCTCTGTCGCGCGCGTACAGATACACGTAGACTATCCATCAATGCATATTTGTTTAACATAAGGCCCGTTCTTGGCCTCCTTCATGCGCGTGATGGCATCAGTTTCGCATGGCTACTACTGCGTGTGCTTGGACTGACAGCAAGCAGAGAACTCGGGGCAATCCTTTCCGCAGTTCCGTGCTGCGGCGACACAGACCTTGCGGGTTTCGGATCGGCGTTTAGACCCAGCACGGCGGGTGCAACTTCCATTCCAAGTTGTCTGGCCGTGATCACAACTGCGTGAGACCGTTTCCTGCCTCCTCTGCACATCTCAAACTATGTTTCGTCCCTTCCCTGTACTGTACTGAAATCCAAAGACTCTCGTCTCGCATAGCGCCTGCAGCGGTGTCGCAGGGCGGTTCATCCCCCTCTCCATCACACGTTTTGATGAACTCTACCAGGGACCAAGATCGACGTCAGATAAACATGGCATCGACCGATGGGCAGCTCCGTCCCACCGGAAAGGTAGAAAAAAAAACCATGTTCAATTCAAGCTTCATTCACAGCCCAGCTTGCATCATCAGCTCACTTTCTTATCATACTCGAGCGAATGGAAACACCGTCTTTCAAGTACCGCCCTGAAACAAGGCACTGGAAAAAGGGGAAACGTCTCTTAGTTGATTCCAAAAACAGACCAGCCGTTCCTGGCGTTATACCCAAAAGAAACAAAACGCAACGCCAAGCGAGCCCCCGCCTTGGAGACGATCTTCCCTCTTTCCCTGCAAAGGAGAAGGAGGCTTGAGCGTAAACAAGAGAGTCGGAACGATCCAGGCACAGCAACCAACCTACCGCTCGAGCCGCATGGTCGCCCGGGTCCCAAAGGCTCCGCGGTAGACCTGATCCAGTTTACCTGACGCTTCTCTGTTGGGGGTCGTGTTTTTTTCTGCGAGCTACTGCGGTGCTTTAGCGTCTGTTCGCCGACGTCGTCAACCACGCCAACTCGACCGCTAGCCAGAAAACCCTATCACAGTCGAGCTGCGCAACCTGCGCTACTCGCCCATCCTCATTGGCGGGGATGCGGTGCTGTTCTTGTGCCTGGGAATAAGGCACCAGGGGCGCACGCGGAACAGAGCGATGGAGGGATGGGTGAAGGGAGACGTAGCTACGTCTTCTCTCCTTCTCCAAAACACGCCTGGATGCAGCCCTTAGAAGCATCTCAAGGCTATTGGGCGCGTCAGTCTCATAGACTTCGCGACCGACTCCCGCCCACACTCATACACCACGAGTGTGATGTTTCCTCAAATGAACCGGGAGGGTGGGCGGCGGAGATTGTGGACAGCTCCTGGTGGACGAGCGAACAATAGATGCCCGTCCCGCCATCGTTCACGTCCAACTCGTATGGATGTATGGATACCACCGTCACCCAAAGCCGGAGGCGTTCCCCGGCTCTGGCTTCCCGGGAATGGACTGGTGGCTATTCTTACCTGCTGCCACGGCTCAATCGAGATATCAGACCTAATGTACCCCTAAATCTGGTTCCCTCCCAACCGAAGACCCGAGCGTGGCTAGACTCACGCTTACGCTTGCTGGCTCGTTCACTCTCTCACTCTCTCTCTCATACGTCGTTCATGATATGTATACCCAGTGGTAGCCACCCCAGACCCTGACAGGTCCCATCTTCTCCTACCCTATCTCCCGTTTCTCCATCGCCCCCCCGGCTTCGTCCCGCCAACCCGGATCACACACTGCACATCACGTTCCGCCCGTCGCCTTAATCCCGACGATCATAAGCCAAAACCCCGTCAATATGTCCAGGTGAACAGAAAAGCAAGCACAAGAAAAGTAGACGACAGAAGGACGAGAGAAAGAGAGAGGGGAAGACGGAACCGTGGATGACATAGGCAGAATGGAGGATCGCAGCGGGCAAGTGCTGGCCGTCGCGGTCCTCTTCTTCGTGCTGTGCTGGAGCGTCGTCGGCCTGCGCATATACTGTCGAGGATGGATCATACGCTCCTTTGGCGTCGACGACAAGTTGATGATTGGTCTCATGGTACAGCGCCAGAACTTGCTGATTACGACTCTTGACATGTGACTGACACCGCTTACAGCTCCTGTTCACCGTCTACCTGATAATGCAAATACAAGGCGTCCGTTATGGCACAGGGCGACACAGGGCAGATCTCACGGCGGAAGCCAACCGTGATGCCCTCATGGTAACCCCTCTCCCCGTCTCACCCTCCCAGAAATGAACATCACTAACAACCAACACAGTACTGGTACATTTGCGAACTCCTCTACATAATCTCGACCTGCCTCCTCAAAATCTCCGTCGGCTACTTCCTCCTGCGTGTCTCCATCCGTCGCTCCCACGTCTGGATTCTGCGCGTGCTCATGCTCGGCACTGTGCTCTTCGGCACCACCTATTTCTTCATGGTCACGTTCCAGTGCGTCCCCGTAAACACCTTCTGGGAGGAATCCCCCCGCGTACAGGGGAAGTGCTTCAACGACCGCGTCGTCGTCATCATGACCCTGACGGCCTCCATCATCAACTGCCTCGCCGACTGGTCCTTCGGCATCCTCCCGCTCTTCATCGTCTGGTCCCTCTCCCTCCCCAAACGCACCCGCCTCCTCGCCTTCGCCATCCTCTCCTTCGCGGCCATCGGCTCCGCCGCCACCGTCGTCAGATCCGTATACATCCCCACCCTTCTCAACGGCGACGACTTCCTGTGGGCGACCACCGACGTCGCCCTCTGGAGCACCGTCGAGCCCGGCATCGGCATCACCGCCGCCTCCCTCGCCACCCTCCGCCCCCTCTGGCAGCTCGTCTGGTACCGCGCCGGCCTCAAGTCCCAGGCCCCCCGCGCCGTCGCCTGGCGTGAGCGTTTGCAGGGCAAGCCGTCCTACGTCCGCAGCGACGAATCCGGCGGCCGCGCACGACAGGCGCGCTTCCGCCTCTCGGATGTTGACGCACCCCTGGAAGAGATCGAAGCCAACATACAGGCTGAGATCCAAGCCGAATTCGACGCGGCCGAGCTCCCTCGCATACACCACCCCGGCGACGACGCGGCAACATCGACAGCCCCGTCAAGACGCAGCGGCCTGAGCAAAACATTCGACCTATCGTACCCGCGGAAACGTAGTGGCGAGGAGGACGGCGAAGGGCTCGTGACGCCCAGGGAAGACGGCGCGGGCGGGCACTACCTCGCCCCAACGCCGACCCGCGAGGTACTACATTTCCACAACCAAGTAACGCTCGAAGCACTCCATGCTAACAACCCGCAGACGCACGAAGAGCCCTCCGACCTCGAAGACGGCCTCCACCTCTCGCCCATGGTCCCCTCCACCGCCCCGACCCTCAACTGGGTCTCCCCGCGCATGTCCGCCCTCTCGATGGGCTTCACTCCGCCCGGCAACAATCCCAACGCCCGCGACTCGATGCAGTCCTCGACGACGTGGGGCGGCTTCAACAACAACGACCCGCGCGCGAGCCGCGTCTCCAGTCTCACGACCGCAACCACCGGCGTCGCCGTCACAAACACCTACACCGGCCGCGACAGCGTCAGCCACATCGACACGTACCGCGACAGCCGCACGACGGCGCGCAACAGCCGCTACGACCGGTACAGCCGCGCGACGCGGACGAGCAGCTACCACAGCCGCTTCCTCGCGCCGCCGTCGCCGGGGGATGTGCCGCTGCCGAGCCCGCCGCCGCCCGTGTGGCAGGTGAATGTGCCCGGCGGCATGGACTCGGCGCAGTGGCTGTCGAACAGGATGACGGAGCACCCTGGGAACCCAGGCGGGCTCATCTGATTCTTGTGTTGAGGGAACAGAAAGGAAAGAGCATTATTCAAATAAAAACACTTAATCGACTCTACGATCATGGACACACATATACCCGGCGTATACAGCGAGATACCACTTTACGAACACATTTTTTAGTATTCAACCAAAAACATTGGGCATAATGGGATGAGGATTGTTGTTCTTACTGGGGCCGAAAAGAAGGTCATTGGAAAAGGGGGCTCCCAAGCTGAAGTCTGACGACTATGGATGTGCAAGAAAAGGGGGAGGATGTGGGACGGTAACATCATTTTACGTGGTTAAATAGAGCATACATGCTTGCCGAATGAAAACACATTTAGCAACTTACAGACTTTGAGTGCAATACGTGAGTGTCAGAGCGGTACCTCTGCATATTGCGTACGTTATGGGCGTGAATTCCATCGAGCATCCCCTTTTCCTCATCTTCATCCTCATCATTCGCTGATTTCCTGCACATACCTCTGGATGCCTATCCTTTTGTCTGTATCACTTGCATCAACAAGTTCATCAGTATGATATTCGCCTCGCCTGTCTTCAATCTTGTCGCCCCATGAACCGTAACGTAACATAATTCAATTGATTTTCTTGCTATTCATTCCTCATGCCTTCCCAATGGTATACGTTCAATGCCTATTCATAACGGAGCCAACAAAAGTGAAAGTGTCTCCAAAGGCGTGCCAAAATCGCGACTCTTCCCTCCGTTCCTGTTCCTTCATGCAGTCTAAGTGGTATCTGCTGCCGGTGTGTGCCTTCGCTGCTATGCTGGACGAACGCTGAATAATAATATGTACAACGCTTATTAAATCTCCATCGCCTCCATGTTGCCTCCCCATGCCTCATAGGCACCGTACTGGTTCTCCATCTGCATCTGCTGCTCCCGGGCCCAGTCGTCGCCGAAGCCCTTGTAGACGGGGTCGGTGGCCGGCTTGTACAAGGAGCCAACGGCAGAGCCGTAGTGGGAGTAGTTGTTGCCCGAGGAGCGGAGAAGCTCGGCTTGTTCGCGCTCGCGCTGCTCCTGTGCTTGCTGTTCGCGAGCGCGCTGTTCACGCTCTTGCTCGCGGCGCATCATCTCCTCGTAGCCGGACATCATGTAGGGCTCGACGTGGTGGGAGATGGAGCTTGCGAGCCAGCGGCTGTCATCAGCTTGGATCTGCGTTCCGTCGAGGCTCATGACTTGCTGCTGCTGCTGCTGTCTCTCAGCCTCCATACGCTCGTACCGCATGCGAGCCAGCTGCTCCTCTTGCTCAAGGGTGGTGCTGGTCCATGCCAGGGTGGGGTTGTCGTTGCTCGAGGTAGGCGGGGCCTCGCGCCAGAGCTCGATCAGACGGAGCTGGTGGGGTTCCTCGGAAATTCGGAAGAGCTGGAACTGGGCAGGGGAGAGAACGGAAGTGTCGACGCCGTGTTGGGCGAGGACCAACTCGGGGGTGATCTGCTCAGTCTGAGGAGGTTCAGAGGAAGGGCGCTGGACCTCGGGCTGAGGTTCTTGTTGCTGCTGGCGGACGATGTGGGCGTTGGGGGTGTAGTGCTGAGAGATGGAGTAGATGATGGGGGCCGGTGCGGCATTGGCGGGGGCGGGGCCTGGGGTCTGCTGCTTGAGCTCCTCCTCAACCTTAAGAGGGGCCTGGCTCTGGACCTCGGGGTTGAAGGTCAGGTTGCGGGAAAAGAGAGTTGCAAGGTCATCTTGGACCTGCATGGAGGGCTGGAAGGAAACCATCTTCCTGTAAGTTTGTTAGCAAAGATTCCTCGTAAATCTTGTGCAAGCCGTGATGTTGCTGCTGCTGTTGATCATCTCCGACAAAACCCCGGCGGGGCTCCGAAAGCGGGACCGGGGCGTTTGATCGGACGGCGCCGGAGTTGGCTCTTGGGAGCAAGACTTGCCTTCTTGGGAGGTGTGAAGTTGGCGAGAAGCCAGAAAAAAAAAGGCCGTTCGGTCTGAAGCTATTTGCTGTAGAGGTAAAGATGTTGGCGAAATATGGAAGACAGTAAATAGCTGTCTGTTGGCTTGTTCTTCTTCTTGGGGTGCTCGGCTCGGGGTGGCTTGAGACAGCGTCTGGTGGGAAAACAAAACTGTTTTATATTGGCTATGCTATTTACTCGAGGGAAATCGATTTTTTCAGGAGACGAATATTCGTAGTGATAAGAAAGCGAACAGAAGACTCGGTCGACGAAAGAAAAGTGGTCTAGAAAAACAACGGTCGGGGGTTTGGTTCGGTCTTGATGTTCCCTTGGGCAGGAAGACAGCAAGCAGGGTTGGGGTTGAAAGGGGGGCGCGGATGCGAAGCCAACAGGTCAGCGGTGCAGATGCAGTCAGTGGCCTGGTGGGGTGAGTTTGCAAGAAGTCGAACGTCTCGGCGGCGACGGCGGGATTCGTTCGGTTCGGTGACACGGTCGACGGGACGGGGACAATTTGTGATTCTTCAGTAGCAATAGCCAGTAGTCGTTGAGTTGGCAAAATCCAAGATTCCAGAGAATGTTGAGGGCGGTTTGGACTTTATATGGCAAAGAGTCATAACCCTTTTCGGACTTGTAGGGAAGGAGGGGAGAGGCAAGTGGAGGGCAGGAGGGGGGAGCAGAGGCACTTGGAGGGAGGGACGAGGGACGGGAAATTAGGAAGGAGGGGCAACTAGCAGGCAAGGTCATGACGCAGGCAGGGCAATGTGACGCAGATTCACTGGCCGTAGCAAGACGGCCCTTCCCTTCATCTTTCCGCTACCAGCAGATACCAGTACGCAGTAGAGACGGGCGGGAGGGAAGATGCGCTGAACGAACGCTTTGGCTTTTGGCGGTCGGGTGCCTGACCTGACCTGACATGACTGACCTGACCTACAGACCGGTGCGGCGTGCCAGGTGCCAGACCGGGGCCAGGCCCGGCGCATACATGGCGCATCCACACATCACCACCTCATCATCCATCATTTATCACCACCAATAGCGCTAACGCCCAATCTGCTGTCCCGTTAGGCCGGAATGCCTGCCTGATGCCCCTGTTTTCCGCCTGTTTGCTGTTCATAATATAGCTCATTCTACCATTTACCGTCCATACCGATATTCACGGCAAGGCATGATCGCCAGGCTGCACCGTGAATTCGGTACCTGACCGGCTGGAAAATGATGGAGGCCATGTATGCAGCTAAAGTAACAAGAGCAGGTCCGGCTGGCCAGCCGGCAAGACATGTCGACTTGAAACATACACTCTTCCAGATCCGCGCCTGTCGCCCAATGGATCGGTGACACGACCGGTCAACCCAGCTTCTGGAAGACACGGAGGTATCAAACCAGTTTCCCGTGACACACGCGAGCCCACCCGGCACCATATGCATCCTCTGTACGCTCCCAGACGGCCTTTTGTTCTCTGCAGAAAACGATGATGGCATCCCTCAGACTTTGTTCCGAATCAGCCTGCCAAAAGTATATTCTGTCCTTGCGGCACTTGTTGCTTCCCAAGAACCGGCGCATTTCAGCAGCACTTCGTTTGCCTGCTCAACCTTACCACCTGGGCTTTCCCGAGGCCCAGTCCGGTGCGTGCACACCGCTCCTAAAGATCCCCGTCCCAACATGTTTCGCCGGAATCCATCCGGGCCTGGACTCCTGGGATGCCGGACTATCGGTGTCTAGGAAATGCGACAGGCTCCTAATGCGAATTTGTCAAGCCTTTCAGCACTGAGCCAGACAGAGCATTCATGTCAAGGATTTTCGGCGGGAAATGAGACTGGAAAGGGGAAGCAGCTTTCGCACTCGTCGCGATGACACCACGACCCAAATACTTGGGTCCCGCACCTCGCGATGTGCCTGCCGTAAAAGAATGCTGAGGTGATGCCCCTCCGTCGCAACCCCTCCATTGCTGCTGGCGCCTGCAGCCCACTGCAGGTTCAACCTGCCCATGAGTGCGGGATGGTGGGGTAAGTAATGATTAAAAATATTGAAATCCCCTGCAGCTTCCATCGTGAACAACGCTGCGGAGCTTATCTAATCCTCAAGTCAAGCCTCAGCTCCCGCCACACGTGGCTTTGGCCGACTTGATTGCCTCACCCCTTCCCAAGCTGCTTGTAGCCACGCCCCAGGCTTCCCTCCCGCTTTCAACCTGAGGCACCCCTACGTCTAGCCTCGCCGTCGACCTCGCGCAGCAACACGCAGCTCTCAGGTTGCCTGAAGCTCAGATCTCAAGGCTCCAGATTCCCCAATCCCATTCAACGTCCCGCATCGTCATCCACCACCCGAAAGCGACACGACCGACATCACGACCTGCACCTCACCACCTCCGACCACGACGGCCGAGTCTATTCCTTTACGAATCCACACCTCTACATCTCGAATACCCAAACCCCCTCCCTAATTCACAATGGTAAGCTTGCCCTTGCCAGGTCCTGGCCCGGAAGCTGGACGACCGGGATGTTGGGAGCTATCACCAGCCCGCCACCACGACAACCAACGCAGCATTCACTAACCACTCACCCCATGGTAGACGTCGATAGGCACAGGCTACGACCTGAGCAACTCCATCTTCTCCCCCGATGGTCGTAACTTCCAAGTCGAGTATGCCGTGAAGGCAGTCGAGAACGGCGGCACATCCATCGGTATTCGCTGCAAGGAGGGCGTCGTCCTTGCCGTCGAGAAGATCATCACCTCCAAGCTATGGAAGCCCAATGCCAACAAGCGTATTGCCACCATTGACAGACATCTCGGTGTTGTAAGTCTACCCTTGCTTCCGCATCCCTCGGCAAACGCACACGACCCCTCATGCCAGCTCCGTTCGTTTCTCATACACAAACTTGCATATCGACTAACACCTCCAAGGTCTACTCAGGTATGGTTCCCGATGGCCGCCACTTCGTCGACCGTGCTCGCGAAGAAGCCCGCGGCTGGCGCGATACCTTCAAGACCCCCATCTCCACCGCCGACCTCGCTGCCCGCATGGGCGGCTACCTCCAAGCCTACACCCTCTACTCCTCCGTCCGCCCCTTCGGTATCACCGCCATCGTCGGCGGCTTCGACCCCTCCCAAGAGTCTCCCGTCGACGGCGAGGTCGGTTCCGGCCCCAAGGTCGGCGCTGGAGGCAAGGACGAATCCAAGATCCACGGCGGTCCCTTCCTTTACATGATTGAGCCTTCAGGTCTGTACTGGGGCTACTACGGTGCCGCCACCGGCAAGGGCCGTCAGGCTGCCAAGGCCGAGCTTGAGAAGCTCGACCTGGCTGAGGGAGGCCTGACGCTGAAGGAGGCCGTCAAGGAGGCTGCCCGCATCATCTACGTCGCCCACGACGACAACAAGGACAAGGAGTTCGAGCTTGAGATGAGCTGGATCAGTGACGTGAACGGTCCCACCAAGGGCCGTCACGAGGAGGTACCCAAGGAGCTGCGTGAGGAGGCGGAGCGGTTAGCCAAGAAGGCTCTCGAGGGCGATGATGACGATGACGAGGACAAGAAGGATGACGACAAGATGGAAGAGTAAGGGAGCGGCTAACGATTAGAGCGAGGAGGTTTATCACGACACAGAGAGAGACAAATCAAAAAGAGATCTTTCATGCCATGGAGGTGCTGCCGTTGACACTGGTGGCGCTTGAAGGACCTTCGTGTACTTGTAAAAATACCATGATGAGGGCTATGGCGGCTGGTTCATAGACTAATCAGACCTGGCTTGGGCATGTTGCTGGTGTTTTTCGGTGACCTTGGAGATGCTGAATGTTCCCTTGTTCGCCGAGTGGTCTGGGAGCTTGGCAACTCGCTCCCGCTTGGAGCAATGGGCAGTCTTTTGCCCTCAGCAGGGAGGCGTCGACGTCGCGTTCAAGCCCTTCCACGACTCGTGGATGAGGCAAGGCAAGTTTGACATCGAGAAGGGAAAAGCGTCTGTCATCAGGATTGGGGCTCTTTCCAAGATTGCAACACGGCGTGCAGAGGCTCGGACGGTTTGTGTTGATTCTGAGTCTGACATGCTCACGGTGACCGGGCATACGCTGTGATCACCCCGAATCCGTAGCGATAAGGAAAGCGGCGGTATCGATGAGATGTGCTGTTGGACGCGGTTATCGTCAGCAATGAACTGATGCTGAGTGCATAGAGACTCAAAGCGAGCCAGCAGGTTATATTTCCTATATACTTAATGCCTTCTATTAGAGACGACAAGAGCGACGACGAGGACGAGGACGAGGACAACAGAAGCGATGGTGGTAGAAGCGATGGTGATAGAAGCGATGGTGATAGAAGCGATGGTGATGGAAGCAATGACGATAGAAGCAATGGAAACAATAACGACAACAACGACGACGACGACGATAGGAGTAAAGATGACGAGGACAACGAGGGTGAAGTAGATTATAGTCACAGGAAAAATAGCCAGCATAACACAGGAAAAATAGGCGGTCTCTCTACGGTAATCCTAGAGACACTGGACATCTTATGTTTACTAAGACGTGCGCGAGCTCACTTTCTTCATCCTACTTCGAGCAACAAGTTCCACGTCACAGTAGAGGCCGTATAAGAGAGATGAGCAAAGTAATTTATATGCTTCGAGGCCCGGCAATTCTGAGCGATGCCTTAAGTGACCCTGGGTAGAGTTCCGCCCCCGGCCCCCGTACGCATGTAGAGGCCGTATAATAGAGATAAGCAAGGTGATTTGTATGCCTCGAGGCCCGGCAATTCTGAGCGATGCCATTAGTGACCCTGTGTAGAGTTCCGCCCTCGGCCCCCGTACGCATAATACCATCTGTGAGCAGGGAATCAAGTCCCGATATCCTACATGTGACGCCCCTCCCCCCGATCTGTGACCCAATTTCCAGTCCTGAAAATGCATCCGCTAGGCCACCTGAGTTCACCTCGCTTGAACCTCCTATCGCTTCTGCCTCTTGGGTGAGTTGTCATCATCTGACGACTCGTCCCCGCCGTGCTTGGCTACAGCGGACAAATCGGTGTCCTTCATCAGGCCCTCTCCAGCTTCCTCAATAATAGGCTCCAGGCCACTGACGACAGTCGCCTCCTCATCATCAACCTCCTCGACTTCAAAATCCTCTCCACGCGCCGACTCTTTCCGGATGGCGTCAAGATCTCGGTCGAGTGTTCTGACTTTGAAACCAAAGCCGCCGGTGTACAACGTCTTTTTGGGCTGAAAGGTGGTGGAGGCCCAAATGTCCACCTCAGAGTTGTCATCATCTGACGACTCGTCCCTGCCGTGCTTGGCTACAGCGGACACATCGGTGTCCTTCATCAGGCCCTCTTCAGCCTCCTCGACAGTGGGCTCCAGGCCACTGACGACAGTCTCCTCCTCATCATCAACCTCTTCGACTTTGAAGCCAAAGCCGCCGCTGTACAACGTCTCCATGGGCAGGAAGGTGGTTCTGTCCCAAATGGATACTTTATACGCATCTTTGCCAACTGCTTCGTTGGCTTTGAAGCCAAAGCCGCCGGTGTACAACGTCTTTTTGGGCTGAAAGGTGGTGGAGGCCCAAATGTCCACCTCAAGGGCGTCGCTTGCGGTGGGTGGTTCCTCCCAGTCGAGGTCGAAATCGTCGTCGGGGCCCGGGGAAGGAGGACGGTGCTTGGCGATCTCGGCCCTGGCTAGCTCTCTGTGCCTTCTCCGGCACCTCTGACCCTCCTGATTAGACGTGTCAGTACGTTATTCTCCAGCACTTTATATTGATACTTACCTCACTTCGTGACCATGACAGCGCCTCTTCGAGCTGTTTGCGGCCATCCTCAAGGACCTTTTTCGTGACTCGGCGCCACGGCTGACGACCCTGCATCTTCAACTCTGGATGCTGTGGTTTGATAATTTCTTGAAGCTGATCATCTGGCTGGCTTGAGACATCTGGGGCGTTCTCGACGTAGATGTCCTGGAGATTGACGTTTCGCCAGTCATGGGTTTGTGTGTCGGCGTCACCGTCATCGGCTTGAGAATTGTTGTAATTGTCGTCGGCTTGCATGTCGCTGTGATTGTCTGCGTTGGAGGCGGATTCGTTGTCTCGGAGGAAGGTCCTGATCTCGTCATCCGTGTCTCCGAACTGAAAATCATACTTGTACGACACGGTGGGGGACTTCATCAGAGGTTCAAGGTCTGCGTTGTCGTCATTCTCCAAGTCTGGTGAACGTGAATGAGAAATCATGGGGGAGCGAGGATGAGGGGAGTCGACATTGCCGAATCGGGGGCCAACGTCCTGAGAGCGATGGCTTGAATGGGGAGACGCAGGGGAGTGAGCATAGGGGGGGTTGGCATCGCTGAAGCGGGGGCCGACATTTGCGAGGGTGGTCTGCTCAGCGGAACTTCCAAAGAAGGAACGAGGAGGGGGGTAAACAGGCTCAGGCTCGTACATCATGTCCTGATGGAGCTGGTAGCCGGTCCAAGGAGAGGTCAAAGGGCCTTCCTGAGAGGGTCCCTCCGTTTGCTGGTTGGTGCTGAGAGGGGAAGCAGGGGACTGAGACTGCGACGTCTGATCGGGTCCATTGAGGGGAGTCGTGGGTCTCGAGTATTGAGCCATGATGTTGATGTGGTGGGGGGGGATGTCTGTGAGAGTGAAATAGGTAGTAAACGAGCTTGTTCGTGTTCGCGCGTTGATAATTCGCGTTGGGTAGTGAAGAGTTTGGGAATCAGGGATGCCTGCGACTGACTTTCCTGATCGGTGAAGGGCATGGACCTAAAGGTCGGGAAAGAACGCTGTGCGGCTTCTTTCCTGATAGACGCTCCTCCACCTGCAACACAGTACTTCGTGCCGCATATCTGTCCTTCAGGGTTCACTATGAACATCGTCAGAGATGTTTCATAGCGGCACACTAAGCGGAGTGTGTCTTATTGTAGTGTAGACTCTTGCCAAGTCGGTTCTGGGTAGCGTATACATTGCCGTTGCGGGTGTTATGAGTGACACGCTTGATGAACTTGTCTTCGCCGCCTTGCTCCTGGGATTGTGAGGCTGGATTTCCGCCTTGCAGGCTCTCGATCCGCGAGATTGATCTCCCCTCCCGCCTCTGAGGTTCTGATTCGCAAGAGTGACCTCCTGTCTCACAGGTGGTTGGCGGCGGTGCTTGTGCTTTCGTCACGATAAAGACTCTTCGCGTGGGTTGTTTCCAGGCTGGGTTTCGATGGACTGACTGGTCGTATCTCGGCTGTAGCAGAATAGGGTGCTTGAACGTCGCTGTCTTCATCTTCTGAGATGCCAGTGTAGGGCATAGACAGGACCCAAGAAGTTGTCGTAGCAGTCTCTCACCCAGCTTTTGCCAAAGTTGACGAAAAGAGATGAAGAGTCTGAGAGCCAGATCACTCACAGGGAGACGCGACAAAGCATACAAGTTTATATGCTTGCGCCTTAGGCGATGTTGAACATTTTCCAGGCTAGGCTTCGATGAACTGGCCGGCCGCATCTCGGTAGTGGCAGATTGCGTGACTTAAACGTAGCTGTCTTCACCTTTCGTGATGCTAGGAGGGCAACGGCTCGCTGATAGGGAGACGTGATAGAGCGTATGCGTTTGTGTGCTTGCGGCTGAGGCGATGTTGAATAGTGATGCAGAACATTAAGCCGTGTTAACCTTGAAGAGAGATGGGGAGAACAACGGAAGAAGTGATTTGCGAGCCGCCTTCGCCAAGACCACTAAGCTGGAAGGGCTCGCACCTTTGGATTCCGCGTCTGGAAAAAAGTTTTCGGCATGTCTTTTTGGGTAAAGGAGGGAGCTGAACACGTGTCTGGGAATGCCATGCATGGAGGTCCATTGAAAGTGTGTATGATGAGCGAAGATGGGAGTGTATGCTGACTTCGCAGGATGTCCCGTTCGAAACGCAGGCAGGGCGTGATGTATCGGCGTAAGAGGGAAAAGGTTGGTTGTTGTATTTGATATGGGCAATGGCCTCGTCCAATGTGAGGTTGGTGGGTCCCGAGTCGGGTTCAGCCGAGGCAGGTACGCCCGTTTTGTTGTCCTCCACCAGCGGAACACTGTTTTTTGGGGAAATTTCCTCGATGAAGGATTCAAGCTTGACAGTCTTTAGTGACTGGGAAGGTTGTACCTCGAGCGACGGCGTAGTATGTATTGAGCCCATTGTTCCTTACCGCCCGTCCTTTGCGGTTTGCGCTTCCTGATCTTCGAGGGTAACAATTTGATCTTGAGAGCTTTGCCGCCGTCATGGGATCGATTTCACCGTCGCAAGCCTCTGCTGTGATAATGATGGATGCGCGGGCAGTCTTTGGCGAATCGTGTCCAGCTCATCGGTCGTCGTCGGAGTCTCGAGACGCTGAGTCGGGGCTGAAGGGAGGGAAGATGTGGAGAAGAAGCGCTAAAGTCTGGGCGAACGAACGGGAGGGGGAGAGAGAGCTCTGTCAGGCGAGATTTAAGGACTTCGTCGTTGCGGGGATCGAGCGGATGTGTGGTAGGCCATGGCCATTGGTTGCGTCTTGTGATCTCCGTCTCGGTCTTCATAGCGGTCGTTCTTGCGGTAGGAAGACAGGATCCCATGACCGAGTGTGCGCGCAACTGTCTCATCGCCATGAAATTCAGCCATAAACTCGATGTTGTGGGTAAAGGAAGAGATCGTCATCTTTGAACTGTCGTATGCGAAGGTTTCCTGTTTGAGCTTCTCCAGTGAAATGCTGCGTGATGCTCTGCATCGATTGTCGTGTCGTACGCCAAAGGACTGTCGTGGCGGTGTCGCGAACGCGTGATTTCGATGGCGACGCTCTTCTCCCGATCCGCTACGGGATGAGTGGTGCCCGGGTGTGACTGAGCGCTGAAAGGGACCGGCTTCTTGACGCGAAGTCACAGGTCTGGACCGCTGGAACTGTTGGAGCATCGTCGGAAAGTAGATAGACGTTTGGCCTTGCTGAGGGTGCTGTTGGGGCATGAAGTATCCTTTGAGGCCGATCCAGCGGACATAGGAAAGGTCTGGCCAGGATGGAAACCTTGAGCTCGGTGTGGGCCTGGATTCTGCGCTGTCTGAGATAAGTCAGAAGGACCAGGCTCTGCAGCACCACGTCAGACAGGCTCCTTGTCCTTGCACGCTTCGAAGGCGAATTGGTACTATCAAGGTGCATGTCGCCGGGTGGAAGCAACGAGAGAATCCTCAGGTGCTTTGGGACCTTGAATGACGCGTTTGACAGCTGCTCGCTGCGTTAGCCCAGTATAGCAGAGCATCCATCACGATGGTCTTCCACAGCCAAGTCCATCAGACCGTCATGTTGCTTGACTTCTAAGGCTCGCAGGATAGACACGCCAATATCAACGGTAGTTTGGAACTCTGGGTGTCGGTCCTGGACTGCGTAGCTGGGCTAGCATGGGAGCGATGCGAAGACTCTCTCTAGCGGCAGCAAGACCATCTCGGCTTCCACTGGGGGCAGAAGTGCCATCCATTATTGCCGGACATCCTTGTGGGCAACTGTGTAATAACAGTGACTAGGATGGAGTCGTTTGAGAGGTCAGTTTGACGAGGAATCAGAGCTGATGTTGATGGGCGCTGTCGTAGTCTGTGGAGAAAACAACAGCGCATCTCGCCTTTCAACAACTCTGTGCCGTGGTGAGATTCTCAGGGGGGGAGATGGACGATATGGAACTTCCAGTGGTGTGGAATAAAGTAGCCGAAGCGAAGGCAGGGACTACCCGTCGTCTGCAGGTAGGCAGGATATAAAAATGCAGACGCGCTACGTTAAGTCTGTAAATTGAGATCGGTCATTCAGGTGGGACGGATCTGCGTGCAGGACTCTAACGGAGGTCGATGTACCTTGGTTGAAGTTAGAGGGGAAGATCGAGCGTTCGTGATGTCTGGGAGGTCTGCGAGATTTCGTGTGCTGTGGGAAGGTTGGGGGGACGGTTTGCGTACCATGCAGGAGCAATGCCTCTCAGGTAACCCAGCGGGTATGGCTTTTTCGCTGCAACGGGAAGGGTCGACTTCACAGCAGTCTCAGTAGCCATAAGGTAGAGGTAGGTAGGTACCTTAGTTAGATTAGAAGCTGGGCTGGCATCTGTCCGTGTGAGTAGCTTGGGCGGGTTGATTCGCGAGGCAGGCGAAAGTCTGCAGGCGCTACCAGACCCGCGGGAAGTACCCCAGGCCTTAACAAAGGTGCGTTTCAGCAGGCCCGGTGTGTTGGGCGGGGCGGGGCCTGCCGCTGTACTGGATTTGTCGCCAGTTTTCGACGTCGCGTGTGTTCTTTTTGAGGTGGATACGAATCGCCCAGTTTTGGGGTCTCGCGCTGGTTTTTCCCGCACTGATTTGAGTAGTCGTCTAAGGTCCTTGGTCTTGGGGTGGTCGGGGAGTCGTTCTCCCCACGCGGCAGAGTAGTGGCTAGCTGGCCACGGTCGGAAGGGGTGTGTCGAACCAGGGGTTAAGAGAAACAATGCCGAGTCTGGAAGAGTTAAATTAAAGCCCTGCCGCTTATGTCATCGAAAGGACCACACATGTTCACTACCCCCGCTTCTGCACTGCAAGGGTCCAACAACAGGCCCGAAGAAAGCGAAGCCATCCAGAAGGCTGCCGAGAAAGAGAAGACGGGCCACACTCCGTAACCTCAACCCAAGCATAGACACCTCAACACCCCTGCGTTCAAAGCGTAGGGTATGTATCCTAGCACCTAAGGACGCAGTTCTTGGTATACCGCACGAAAGCGACCTATCCGCTCTAGATGACCCCAACGACCCGTTCAATGACAGGTACGCGGAGGATGCTAAGGTAGAGGACTGATGAGCAGAACATATAGTGGCACAGGATAAATCGAGAATGGAACGGGATGCATTGGAAACGGAGTTAATTGAATGAGTTATGTCATAGACTGCGGACTTGGTACTGAAGTGTCGCTAGCTTCTCTTCTCTCCACACACATCACAATCAACTACCGCCTCTGAGTTTTGCCCTGCTTCGGAGCTTTGACTGCTGCGGAGTCTTACCCTGCTGCGGCAGCTCGTTTCCCTTCTTTTTCGTAAGTCTGAATTTGGTTCTAGATAGTCCACCTCCCAAACAGTCGGCGCTAATAACTTTTCGCCAGTGAGGAGCGAGATGTTATCTTGCGTCCTTGGAATGATGCTCAAGAAGGAATTTTGCATGTGTCGATTTTCAGTAACAACCCTCATGCCTACCCTCAGAAGCCCTCCTGCCCTCCAAGAATAGAGACCTCCTATTTCTACTGTGCTAGAGCGACTACTTTTCCTGTGGCTATACTCCAATCACTTTATCGTTGTTGTCGTCTTTGTCGTCGTCGTCTTTGTCGTCGTCGTCTTCGTTGTTGTCGTCTTCGTTGTTGTCGTCTTCGTTGTTATCGTCTTCGTTATCGTCGTCTCCGTCGTTGTCTTCTATTATCATCGCCGCTTCTATCCTTATTATGACTTCTATTATTATTGTGCTTATCGTCCTCATCGCTGCGGGTTGCGCGCGATTGTCAACTGGTCCTATCCGTGCTCGGTGCAGCATTCTCCAAACCTCTCCCTTGTCGACCTTATGTCCTTTTCTTGACTTCAGCTTGGACGGTTGAAGGTATTGGAAGTCGCCATCAGTCTTGCGCGGGTGGCGTAAGAAAGGGCGGCGCCATGTCCCGTATTCTGGGGTCTTCGCCGACGGCCCCCTCCAGAGAACACCGCGAGACGGTGGAATTAGTGGGCGGCCATGGCGATGTCGAGGACCGTTTCTTCTAGGAGTTCGGCCTCAACTATGTGCTCGACGAGGTCGGGAAGATTCAGGGCCGCGCGAGGGCGGACGATCGTGCATGCGTCGAGAATTTGGGCAAAGTCTTCTCAGGCGCAATTTCGGCGGCCCTCGCGCCTTTGGGTTGACACTGAGGACTCGCAAAAACGCATTCTCCGTCGCGAAGGGGCATCCGGGCAGAATCTTGAGAATCCCAAAGGCGTCGAATACTCTAGTCTTCATTGGGGTCCCGCTGACCAGAATCTTCGCCTTGACGTCAAGCGCCGCAGGTGCCTTGTAGAGGGTCGCTTCGGGATTATTCACTCCGTGTACCTCGTCAAAGATGGCAAATGGGAAGTGAAGGCCAAGAGATTTCCAACATTCGATGTCGAAAATACAGTTTGTCTGCCGGGATCTGAACGACGTCTGTCTTCGGGCTACTGGTCTGCCGAGGATGTGGAGACCGAATCGGGCTTGTTGAGTGGCGTCTTGCCATTCCAGATACCGGGCGCTCAAGTACTGCGAAGTGATGATAATGAAATCAGCTTTGGCCTCAGCCAACTCGCGCGCTGACATGTCCTTGTCTGTCAAAACAAGCACCGACGGGCGGTCCACCTACAGAAATACTGTCGGTAAGTTTCGTTCGATCACATGTTTGCCTCACATACCTCCTCGAAGCACGAAAACTGTTCCTCCCAGTGAGGAACTAGCGTTTTCGGCACTACAATCCATACGGGGCCTTGGTAAGGCATTCCCTTCGCTCTCGTCGCAGTCATGATCGTGGTGAGTGTTTTGCCATAACCCATAGGGTCGGCGATGCAATGGCGCGCCACCCCAGCACCTGTTCTTTTCTGAATTTGACATGTTAGAAGGCGCCCCCGAGGGGGNNNGGGGGGAGGGAGGGGGGTAAGAAGTCAAATCTTCGTAAATAACATGAAGACGAGATAGAAGGCGGGCAACTGTAACAGATCCTGAAACCCGGTAGTAGGCGATGATCGATGACCTCTCTAGATGAGCAGGGTTTCGGGTTCAAGGGCCCGCGACCTTTTATAAACAATCATCTATGCATAGTTAGTAATCGAAAGCGAATTTGCGAGAACATACTACTCACTGGTACCAGATTGATGTGGATGAGACCAGTTCAACATTCGTCTCTTGCACCAGTTCACCCGCTTTATCAGGATCCTTTATGCCATCCTGACAAGAACTGCTGAACGACCTCTTTCAAGTCTGACTCTTTGAGGTCAATGCCCATGTTGGGCTCTTCATTGTCAACCTCCATCGGGCCCCAGCATTACACCCTCCTGTCTGCTGGTAAACGCCTCATAGATCTTCCGGGGGGTTGAAATTAGTTCTTGGACGAACTTCTTGAACTCTTTGTCGCCCGGCTGTGCTGGCGAAAATATGCTATCGACCTTGGCTCTGGCTTCTAGAAGCTTAGCCTCCAGCCCGGGTGGGTGGTTCCCGTGAATTCTTCTCAAAGGGGCGTGGGAGTCGAAGTAGGTTCTCCTTGTGTCTGTGCCATTGCTCTCTCTCTCTCTCTCTCTCTCTCTCTCTCTCTCTCTCGTTTTCGTGGTTTTCTGGGCAATTTGCTCCAGCATTCGTCCTTCAGAACGACCGTTTGCTTCTTGTGTGGCACCGTTCGGATTTGGCCTGAAATGATGATGGAATTGGTGAATCTCTTGGCGAGTACCGGGTCGGTATGAGTGGTACTGGCTCGATACTAGGAAACGAGGGATCATGGAGTAATGATCTTGGAGCTATGTTAAACTTGAACTTCAAAACGAAGAGAGATGCTGACTTCAAAATCGATCGATACCTCAAATGAAATGAACGCTTTTTTGACGAACAGACCAGGAGGTGCAAAGATCTGAGTAAATGATGGTCGCGTATGGACGGCTCGACTTGGAGCAAATGTGCGACCAAAAATTCGTTGGCACGCTGAGGAATTTCGTGGTAGGTCGAGAATTTCGCCTTGTGGTTGAAATGGGAAGGAACGCGGAAGGTATCCTGAGCGTGAAGCGTGGAGGCTTGATTTTTTTTCCTTTAGAAGAGAGCGGCCAGGCAGAAGAAAATGAGGGAACTCAGGTACGTACCTATCTGGGTGCCTTACTGTCTTAGGGACTGAAGGTACCGACTTACCTGCCTCTGCCTGCCTTCATCCGGCGGGGGCATCTTGAGTCTCGGACGCAAACCTCATGACATCTCAGGGAAGTGCATCGAACTGCCCATCCAAAGTGAAAAAGCACGCCTGTATTTCCGATTCATGACCTTTGTGCAAGAGTAGTGTCCTACCATCTAACACCGATGATAATGGCCGTAGCATTTCCTGTCTCGAGGACACAATAGCATCCATCCTCTTGGACGTCAGTCTTATGCAAAAGATGGGCATTGCAGGCTTCACAACGTTGTAAATTGCAAAGTCGGAGTGACATGAGTGAACTAGCCCTCAAAGAAGAGGCATCGGGTGCGTAAGTCACTTTAGGATATTTAATCTCTGTTTTTCGCTATCTGGTAACTATAAGCAATCGTCGACGAGAGCCTTTCCTCGATGATCGAAGAATGGGCCGATCGCCATCTTGATTGACTTATCAGAGAGTGTCTAGGATCGCCATCTTTTGGCAACTATTGGATTAGGGACAAATAGGAATTATAAGCAATCGTCGACGAGAGCCTTTCCTCGATGGTCGAAGAATGGGCCGATCGCCATCTTGATTTACTCATCAGACTGCCCCGGAACTTCAAAACCTCGTTCGTGCCGTGACGAATCCACTGGGAAGCCTCCCTCAGAAAGCCAAGGGTAGACTGAACCGCCGTTATGCGATGACACAACTGAACCACCCCCCGAATACTGGCAACATCCAACTCTCTTGTCTCGGCAGGGTCGCCCAACTAGGGGTTGTAAATGTCGTCGTTGACGAACAAAGCGCTGTTTGTTCTGTCATTCGTTCGGTCGCTCGCTCGGTCGTTGTTGTCGTTGGTGGCATGTTCGTCAAGGAACACCTGGTGGTTGGTCTTCATCATTTTCAGAGGCTCTTCAAAGACAGCACTGAAAATGTCGCCCATCAGGGCTACTACGTGCGAGTAGGCTTCCTCCGTAATGAGTGCGGCTCCATCGTAACCGATCGTATCTGCTAGCTTTCCGAGGACATTGAAGTCCGGCGCGGGCGGCATCCTTGTTTTGCCATTGTTCGTAGCTGCCACCCTAGAAGTAAGATGGGCCATCACCTTCTTGAACGTATCGAGCATTCTGTCAATCTCATTGTTGTCGTACTCCATCCATTCGGTCGAAGTGCGGGACTGGGACTCTGACCGGGCATGGCTGCTAGCCGGCTCCCGTCCTTGGAAGTCCAATCCGCGTAGAAAGTACATCGCTGTTCGGAGGTCTTGGCTCGTCGGCATGGCTTCTTCTGGCAATATCTGCGCAAGAACCCAGAGAACTCGTCCAAGCTGGTTGTAGCGGATGGACATGTCAGCTGGAGAGCTGACCAACAGGGTCGACAACTGTTGGAGGAATTCCGCGTTGATGATTGCCGCATTGGGGTGATCGAAGGTCCGGGGCCAGAGAGTCTAGAATAACAGGGCTTTATTAGCAAGTCATTTGGAATCTTGAGGGAGACTGTTACCTTTATTTCATGCAGCGCTGACTCTGCATGCTCCATGGAGATGACCTCCTTCTCAAACAGGAGCTTGCAAATGTGCCGCTTGCTTTCAAAAAGAGGGTTATCCTCTCCCAAACGAACTACATAGTTCTTGAGCTTTTCCGCGGCACTCTGCGCTTCCTGCTGCGTCGGAGCTGAATCGATCGCGTTCATCATCTGCCTCAACTGGCGAAGGATAACGTCTTTGTTCGTCGGCAAGATGGCAGACGCCCTGTCGCCGGCGCCGCTCTGGCTGCTTCTGCCGGTGATCTCGTCATCGCCTTTTCCGGCGGACTGGTAGGGGGTCGATAAGTCGTCCATCGTGAAAGTGACCTGAGGTGGGCGTCAGAGGACGTAATAACGAGAAAAACACCTATGTCTCTTACCTCGCCTTGATCTCTATGGTATTTTGAATAGAGCCAATGCGCAAGAAGTTCTAGAGCACTATGTAGGCAGACTCAGAGGGGAGGAAAGTTCTCCCAGATTGTTTCGGGAGACACGAAAAGCGTGTCTATCGTCCAGGAAGCGATGAGGGCAGCGCAATAGAGCAAGTGACATGTAGCAAGCTCAATATTCAGGTTGTGGTGGTGTTGCGAAATGGAAGAAGCGAAAATCTCGAATGGGTTGCCTCAATGGGAGGAGAAAAACAGCTTGCGGCGGCGGACGGGCGGGGCAAATGGAGAGAGACAAAGGTGAAATAATGTCTGCAGGCTGCCAAATTTTCAACAATTCGGGGAGTAGCAAAGAAGTGCCCCAACTGGTCTTGCCTTTCAACTGAGGTAGAGTGAATACGAGGCTCTCTCGGGGACAACCTACTTGACACCCGTACGTTTGGTTCCCATCACACCTCAGCAGACTAGCTACCTTACTATTCACCAGAGGCACCGACTAACATTCTTTGGTTCTGCGTTTGTGGTTTTGTTTAAACTGAAAACTCTGACTTTTCCACCAATTCAAGGGAGCTGAAAGCTAGCAAATTATTCTGGATTTCTGATCCTCTATTGCAGTTTTACAAATGAAACAACTCAATGAGCACCTACGACAAGGCCCATGTTAAGGTGAGCTGCACCTGGGTCCATCAATCAAAATGGCCAGCACGTCTGCTACGCACTTGATAACAGTGGATTACTGTATCCTTGGTCTTTTTTTACTCTGCGATATAACATATGGCAGATATTCCCAGAAGCATTGCCATACCTCTCGACAAGTCTTGAATCCACACTTGTCATGAACAAATGTTGAATTTGCTTGACGGAAAGTAGTCGTTCACATTCCTGCTCTTGCAGCGCCCCATTCCTGATCTCATGACACCTCCATTTCTGTGACGTTGGTGCGAGTCGTTTTTGCGTGCTGATGCACTCGGCCACGATTGTTGCTTGTCCAAGCGAGCTTCTCCTTTCTCTTTCGGGCGCGGTATGCCTCCAGACTGATGGCTTTCTCTTTGTCTTCGAAGGCTCGCGAATTGACCTTCATCTTGGCCAAAGTCCTGTCGCGGCGATTGGCGTTGTAGGACTCCAGCTCTGCTTCTGACATGTTGAAGTCACCGAGCGGCTTCTCCAGGAAGGCCGTGTGCGTGCAAAGCGGCTCCCAGGATACCTCGTCTCTCGTTCACGGAAGCATGGTCTCCCAGAGGACATCCATGTCGCCCGCCTGCCCGCGAAGAAGACAAATGTCATTGTTGCCTTAATCGCAATGGCTCTGACACGGGCCAGGGGAGCTTGGCCATGAGGACCTCGTACATGTTGTTAGCAAACTTGAGCGGAGGCTGGCGACGTCTCCCAGCGAAGGAAACGGACGTTATAACGGCCTTAACAGTTACAACAGCGGAAACGACGGCAGAGACGACGACAGAGACGACGACAGAGACGACGACAGAGACGACGACAGAGACGACGACAGAGACGACGACAGAGACGACGACAGAGACGACGACAGAGCCGACGACAGAGATGACTATAGAAACGACGGCGGCAAATAATGACGATAGGCGACGACGACGACATACGACGACCGCCGGGAGGCTTCTCCATGAATGCCGTGTGGGTGCACAGCGGCTCCCATGCCACCTGCTCTCGGCGCCAGGGCAACATGTCCTCCCACAAAACGTCCATCGCGCAAGTCCGGCCAGCGAAAAACACGAACGTCAACACTGCCTCAACGGCAAGAAGTCGAACTCTGGCGCGGGGGACGTGGGCGGCTGACGGCAGATTGTGCCAGCAAAGTAACCCTGATGTGTGCGTGCAAAGAGGTTGCCAAGAAACCTCGTGTCTTGTCCATGGGAACATGTCGTCCAAGAGAACGTCCATCTTGCAGGGCCTGCCGGCGAAGAACACGAAGGCCATCGTGGCCTTGACTGCGACGATCCTCAGCCGCGCAATGGGGGCTTGACCAGGCTTGGGCCTCGCGCACCAGCACAACAACCCGGCATGGCTGATAGAGTATCCCTCTTGGAGGGCTTTGAGGACAAGTTGGGGAAGGAGTGTCTCCCTCTTGTAATTGCGTAGCCGAGTTACAACACCGTGGTCGGCATTGGTTCCTGACCCGACGTAAAGCCTCGCTGGGTGATTGGCCTTCTCCATAAGGAGTGTGTAGACGCCCCAAACCGGATTGCTCTTGTTGGGTTTGGGGAGTGTGCGGAAGAAGTAGAGAGTGGGCGGGTGCTTGGCCATGAGGACGTCATACATGCGGCGAACTTGAGCGGATGCTGCCCACAGATGGATTCGAAGGCTTGAATGTTAGGAGCGAAGTGGCTTTTGAAAATGGGGTAGATATACCACGCTGGGGTGCTCGCAGAAAGTGCACACCAGGTGTAGGAAAGCTGTGTGTGCGCTGCTACGAACATTTTGTCCCACAACACGTCCATCTGGCAACGTCTCCCAGAGATGACGACAGAGACGACGACAGAGATGACGATAGAGACGACGGCAGACGACGACGAAAGACGATAACAGAGATAGCGACAGAGACGGCGACCAATCTGATCCTGGCCTAGGGAACGTGGGCGGCTGACGGGAGATCGTGCCAGTAGAGTACACCCGAATGACTGATGGTATGATCCTTGATGGCCTTCCGGACAAGCTGTGGGATGTTGCTGCCATCGACCTTTTCGTAAGCCTTCAGGCGGCTATACACGCCCAAGATTGCGTCGGTTCTAGACCCAACATAAAGCATAGCCGGGCAGCCAACCTTCTCTAAAACAAGAGAGTAAACACCCCAAATGGGCTTGTCGCTGCGGGCCGGAGAAGAAATCAGACGGAAAAAGTCGAGCGAGGGGCGCGCATCGTCCTGAAGGACGCGGAGGAAGTGGTCAGCAAAGAAAAGAGGGTGGTCGTCGCACAGAGATTCCAACACGCCGTCCTCTGCGCCTAGAATGGCCTTAAACACAGGGTTCAAATACCAGTCTGGGGCATCTGGCGCGACGGCGCAGTAGGTCATGCCGTCGACGATCTCGCGCAGCTCTTCGAGGTCCTCCATCTTGCTTTGGCGAGCTGGATGATGCTAGTTGTCCTGGGCCCAATTGGAGGAAAGCGGAGACAACTGACGCGAGGCGAGTCGAGCCCATGGTCGGAATGGTACGGACGACGACGGGGGAAGACGACGGGGGGCGAAGAGTAAAGAACTGGTACCAGCCAGAGGGGTTCGACGATGCCATGGTGACGTCGATGTGGTCCAAAGTCCTCTCAGTTATGACAGGGTAAAGCTCAACTGCAATCGTTAGTAGAAGCACCCAGAATGTTTTGCTAGGTCTTTGTTACCTCGCATGGGAGAGAGAGAGACTTCTGTCCGATGTCCGTCTGGATCAAAGGTCACCACTGAGGGTGGATGAAGTGTTTCTGGTGGTCGTAGTCTCAATCATCTGATAGGAGGAAGACTTCTGGCAGCCCTAGTGTAGACCAAGGGGAACAGCTGAGGGCGGGCAAACTGCTGATGGTCGTCGTGCCCTTGATCGTAGGGAGGACACCTGGAGCAAGCCATGCCTCATGGCGATGATGTCCGAGGAGAAACGAGTGGAAATAGAAAGCACGACAGATGTGAGAAAGAGCTCACCATGGATGGAAGACTTCGGAGGAAGTCTCTATGTGCGAAGGGTATACCTCGTTGAGAAAGAGCACCTGGCCCATATTAGATCTGCCCAGCATCGGCATTGGGAAATATGAAAGGCGCCCAAGTGGGAAAGAGTATCCCGATCAATAGTGTCGGTCACACAAAAGATGAACTCAGTTGCAGAAAAGGAAGGTTGTGTCATACGTACCTGCCTTACCTAGGTAGGTGGACGAGAAAGGCAAGGCAGTCACAGACTGAGCTTGGGTCATTCCGATGCGGATGAGTACCAATTCTCGCCGCACTGTTTCAATCTCTTTCAAACATTTACGACTTTAGATTTGAGAGTCATGATATTGAAGGACAAAAGGAATCGAGGGCGTTAATTGAGTCTTGAGCTCTATTTTACAAGTGGTTCGACTGGAGATCCTTCCCCCAGATCGCGTCCCCTGGTGCTTCCCTCGGACCGGCGCAAACCCTCGAGATTTCCTCACGCCTCTAGAGGAACAAAAAACTTCGGTATAGACAGCTACATCAACCCCCCCTGCGCTCCCAGTCGGACCATTTATTATGTCAGGTGAGACTTAAATTTAGCCCAGGAAGCTCTTGGTGAAGTTGGTGATGACCTCCTTGAGGCGGGCCTCAAGGTCCTTGCTGAGGGCACCCTCCTTGTCAATGGTGGCGAGAACGTCAGACTCGTTGGTCTTGAGGTGAGCAAGGAAATCGGCCTCCCACTGGAGAATCTTGCCGACGGGGACGTTGTCAAGGTGACCGTTGACACCGGCGAAGATGAGGGGAACCATCTCGTTGACGGCCATGGGGGAGTACTGCTTCTGCTTGAGGAGCTCGGTCAACTGTAGATGTGTCAGCTCAATGATCATCTCATGTGTATCAGATTACAACTTACGCGTTCACCTCTGCTGAGGGTCTGCTTGGTGGAAGCATCAAGATCGGAACCAAACTGAGCGAAGGCAGCGACCTCACGGTACTGGGCCAAGAAGAGCTTCAGGGAACCAGCGACTTGCTTCATGGCCTTAAGCTGGGCGGCGGAACCGACGCGAGAGACGGAAAGACCGACGTTAATGGCAGGACGGACACCCTTGTAGAAGAGCTCGGACTCCAAGAAGATCTGACCGTCGGTAATGGAAATGACGTTGGTGGGAATGTAGGCAGACACGTCACCACCCTGGGTCTCAATGACGGGCAGGGCAGTCATGGAACCACCACCGAGCTTGTCGTTCATCTTGGCGGCACGCTCCAGAAGACGGGAGTGCAGGTAGAAGACATCGCCAGGGTAGGCCTCGCGGCCAGGGGGGCGACGGAGCAGCAAAGACATTTGGCGGTACGCAACAGCTTGCTTACTGAGGTCATCAAAGATAATCAAGGAATGCATACCGTTGTCGCGAAAATATTCACCCATAGAAGCCTAGAGTTGATATTGATTAGCAAAAGATCATCTTGTTGTTTGTAGATGGTGTTGGTGGTGTTGATAGTTGATGATAGACCGGGGCGGGACGGCGACGGGACGGACCCGGAAAAGTGGGACCGGACAGCGGAGAAAGAGAGTGTGGTGGGGGACGAGGGTGGGGGACGACAACAGTGACGACGACGGCAAGGACGACGACAGCGACGAAGAGGATGGCAGGTACGAAGGGGGTATGCGCAATGACGGAAGGTGCTGCTAAGGCAGGTGCGACAATGGCAGGTGCGGTTGGGAGGTACTTACACCGGTGAAGGGAGCAATGTACTGGAGGGGAGCGGCCTCAGAGGCAGTGGCGGCAACGACGATGGAGTACTTCATGGCGTCGTTCTCCTCGAGGGTCTTGACGAGCTGGGCAACGGTGGAACGCTTCTGGCCGACGGCGACGTAGACGCAGTAGAGCTTCTTGGTCTCGTCGTTGGAGTTGTTCCAGCGCTTCTGGTTGAGCATGGCGTCGAGGGCGACGGCAGTCTTTCCGGTCTGACGGTCACCAATGATCAACTCACGCTGACCACGGCCGATGGGAACCATGGCGTCGATGGACTTGAGACCAGTCTGGACCGGCTGGTTGACGGACTTGCGGGGCAGAATGCCGGGGGCCTTGAGCTGAGCACGGCGCTTCTCCTTGGCGTTGAGGGGGCCCTTGCCGTCAATGGGGTTACCGAGGGCATCGACGACACGGCCGAGCAGCTCGGGACCGACGGGAACATCGACCTATGGTTCATGATTAGTTGCCGTCCGGATCGGCGGCAAGAAGTGGTCCGACTCACAATCTCTCCGGTACGCTTGACGGTCTCGCCCTCCTTGACCAGACGGTCAGAACCGAAGAGCACAACACCGACCTGGCCGGCCTCGAGGTTCATGCACATGCCCTTGACGCCAGAGGCGAACCTGTACAGCCGTTAGACGCGGGGATACCGGAAGGCGCATAAAGGGCGCTAAACATACTCGACAAGCTCCTCAGCCTGGACGTTGGCCATACCGTGAACACGGGCGATACCATCACTGTTTTCCAATTGTCGTCAGCAACAAAAAACTTTTTTTCCCTGCGCCGGCTACGTTGACACGCGAGTCCTCGTGCAAGCTGATGATGCATTGAAGCTTTTCCGATGGGTGCTCGCGATGCCGAGATGTGCCGCCTAAACGTACCCGACGGAAAGGACGCGGCCGGTCTCGGCGAGACCAGCCTCCTCCTGGACACCACGAATTCTCTGCTCGAGGATGGAAGAAACCTCGGTCGGGGAAGCCTTAGCATCGGCGTATGAACGGGTCTGCATCGACGTGGCGTTGAAGACGGCGGGTGCGGCATTTCGGGCCTGAGGGTGAAAAACAGGTTAGCCGAAGCCCGAAAATGTTATGGGCTTCCCCCCCAAAAACAAGACGCAGGGTCAAGGGAGCTTGATGAAAAGCTCTTCCACAACACCACCATGCGTTCCGCGACGCCAAAAAAGCTCGCCGGGGTGTAATTGGACATGGCGGAACCGATTGATGATGTTTTTGGATGGCATTGACGTCGTTTCGGGGATGGGGAGGTTGACGGATTGTTGAGGGTGGGTTGGACTTACGGCAGCGACTCTGCCAGCGGCAGAGACGGCGCCGACAGCGCGCGTCGACTGGCGGAGGGCGTTGCGGAACATATTAGGAGATCTTTGACACTGTCTAGATCGAAGGAGAATCAATTGCAACGGATGCAATTGAGTGGAGGGGAGATTGGGGTTGATGAAGGTGCCTTTGAAGGAGTGCAAATCGAGTCTTTTTTGGAAGAGGCCCAGTGGAGGGAAAAGAGAGTGAGGAATGGGTGGACCCGGAGCTCTGCTGTCGGGCCAATCACGGCGGCCCGTCGAGTTTTGCCTCAGTCCAACCCGAGATCACCCTAACAATTTCCGACGAACAGCACGTAGCCCCGTAACCCCGTGAAATGCCTTAAAACGCCTTGAGAGCGTTGATTACATAATACAGCCAGCGCTGAAGCGCCCGCCTTTCAGTGCTGAAGCCCCCCGGAAGAGATTGCTGATGGATCTCATCCCAACCGAAAAAAAATGTGTCAATCTGGCTTTCCAGCGCGCGATCGTGCCCGTTGCCCACTGCCCATTGAGTTTGCGACAAGGTCCAATTGCGATGTCTGCTCGGTCCCCGAGCTCAAATGGCCCCGGTCAACCAACATCTAACCTTCCATGTCGAGATGGCTTCATGGTGCCAGCATTCATCTTATAAATCTGCATGCATGCTATGTCGTTAGTCTAGCTTCCCGGTCACTCCCCTCCTTCCCCGGCCTCGCAGGCGAAGCTCTCCACTGTGGCATTCCCACCCAACCTCTCGTCACCCTCCCTTGAGGGATGCTTTCGCGTGCACTCGTTGAGAACCTGGAGGTCAATGGCCATGCATCCGCTGTGGGACGTGTCTCCGGCCGGCCGGGAACACCGAGCCTGACCGCCTCGGAGGAATGCAGAAAACCGAACAACCTGCGCATCATTCTGCCTGCTGTAACGGCCCGTCATCACCTCACGAATATACCCAGCATCGGCACGCGACAATATTTTCCCGTCGCGCACGAAGGCATGGGGTCTGTTGCCGTCATTTTTTTTGTTGGTTTGATATCTCCACAACGTTCACTGGCAGTCGCTCGCGGAGATCTGACAATGCAAGGAATCGACTAGCTTTATTGAGCTATGGGCAAACTAGCTAAACCACCAACGCCAGAAGCTGCTTCAACAGCTTGTCATCACTAAGAGGGTATACTACGCATTGTCATCACATCAAAAAGAAGGTGTTGATAAGCCGGCATGGGCGCCGGTCGGTCTCTGAGGCCGCAGCAAGACTGAATTTTCCTCAAGTCAAGCTTTGTTGTCTGACGATAACAACTGCTGGAAAGTACATGCCTTTTGTTCCATGTCCCGTTTTCGCCAATGTCCGTAAACCCAAGCCGTCCCGAGGTACTTTTTTTTTTTGATCGTTGCAGAAAGAAGGGATTAGAGCATTTATCGGACAATGCCGTCGAAGCGCTGCTTGAACCACTTGACGGTCTCCTCGCGCTTGATCTTGTGGCCAGAGCCGATGCGGCCCTTGCAGCGGCGGCGGGTGGCGACGCGCTCACCCTTGCGGGTCATGCAGACGTAGAAGTCCATGCCGTAGATACCGATGGAGGGGTCGTACTTGATACCAAGATCGATGTGCTCGCTGATACCGAAGCCGAAGTTGCCAGTCTCGGAGAAGTTGCGCTTGCGCAGCTCGTACTCCTTGACCTTGAGGCCACGCTCAAGAATCTCCTCAGCCTGCATCAAGTCAGTCTCCTGATCTCCCATGTCTGTGGTTTCTCCATGTTCGAAATCGTACCTTGGGGCCACGGACGGTGACGTGGACAGCAATCTTTTCGTTACGGCGGATACCGAAGGTACGGACGGTGTAACGGGCCTTGCCTGTGGAATTGGTCAATCAATTGTCGCATTCGATGAAGGACTTCGTGAGAACTTACTGTAGACAGGAGTCTGACCGGAAAGCTGCTCCAAAACCTTGGCGGCACGGGTAAGTCTGTCACCAGACTCGCCGACTGTGAATTTCAATGTTAGCGAAAGTTTGTCGGAAACGAGGCAGCGCCTGGAGCGTACCGGAAATGTTGAGCACGAGCTTTCGGATGTGCAGCTCGCGCATGGGGTTCTGGGCCTTCTCGGACATTTTGGCGGTTAGTACGTCGACGACGGTTTGGCGTGGTGATGAGTCGGTATCGCGGGATGTCGAAAAGGAAAATCGAAAAAAAAGGTAGACTTGAGTAGTTTGTGGGATGGGTTTTTGCAGCCCTGGGTGCACGGTTGGCGACGACCCCACCTGAGCCGCTAACGCCCAAAGCAGGACTAGCGCATTCCCGGCGCAATCGACCGCCGGGGTTTACCCGAGTGGCATTGGCCTCAGTTCAGCCTTCCGCAGCCTCCTCCACCGAAATTTGTCGATAGAACGGGCATACCCACTCTGACCTTGCCAGAAGCTCTGCCAACCGCAAGCATCCAAGGTCGCGTCGAAGTCTCCCAGGCCTCGCTACAAAACAAGATCAATTTTTTGAAAGATCTCGAGAAGCTGCGCAAGTAGCATCTCAAACACACATCAGCCAAGATGTCGAACAAACAGGGCAAGATGGTTAGTAGCTCTTCACCTTCTTTTCCAAAGCTTCAAGGTTGACAATACAGGCTGACACGATATGATCTCTCTAGGCCGGTTACGTACGTATCGATCCGCGATCTTCTCAGCCGCCGACGGCTCGACCTCGCACCGGACTTGCTAACATGCTTCATAGATCAACTACCGGATGAGAGTCACTCTCAACGATGGCCGCCAGATGACCGGACAGATGCTTGCTTTCGACAAGGTGTGCACTCCCAGGCCCCTGAATCGCGTGTCAATGACGTCGCTGACAGTGTCTACAGCACATGAACCTCGTTCTCGCCGATACTGAGGAGTTCCGACGCGTCAAGATCAGGCAAAACAAGCCTGCTGCCCCTGGAAGCTCTGGCTCGAGCCAGACGATCGAAAAGGAGGAGAAGCGCACGCTCGGTTTGACCATCGTCCGTGGCGCCCACATCGTGTCGCTGTCCGTTGAGTCGGAGCCTCCCGCAGACCCCAGTGCCAGGCTTGGAAAGAGTGCGCCGGGAGGAATCTCGTCGACTCTTGCTGCTGGTCCTGGTGTCGCGAGACCTGCTGGCAGAGGTGCTGCCCCTGTCCCCCCTTCTCTGGCCGTACGTACACTCCCAAAGTCTGCTCCTGCTGAAAGCTGCTAATCAGAAACACAGGGCCCTGCTGCTGGTGTTGGAGGCGGCGCTCCCCCCGGCTTCCCTGGTTTCCCTGGTGCTCCGCCGTTTGGTGGACGTGGAGGTGAGTACCCAACACGGTTTAATCCTCGATCCAGCTTCTCACACATTGCAGCTCCTCCTCCAGGCTTCCCCGGCGGTTTCCCGCCCCCGGGCTTCCCTCAGAACGCGCCCTTCCCTCCTCCGGGCTTCAACCCCGGCCCCCCTGGTGGAGCTCCTGGCTTCAACCCTCCTCCCCGAAGATAAGCTACGAACAGTTATTTCGGCGCCTCGCATGCTTTAAAGTTGGAGGTTGGTTCACGGATACCATTGGCGTTTGGGGATGAATGTCGAGATTACAAACAAGAGGGTGCAACAAGCATGTTGACAAAGCGCCCCTGAACAAACCACGAGGTCAGCCTGCCCGTCTATAAGTTGGATTGCGGAGAGATCATGGCTGCACGAGTTTGATCAAAAGTGTTTCTCGGTGGTGGAACGGCTGACTTGCACATATGAAGTCATGGAGCCTCTGTCTCGAGTTGCAGTATAGACTGAACTGGAGAATCAAAATACTTCATCGCAAAGTAACTCATGTGTTGTCCTGTAGACCCTTCGACAGTCCTGATGATGTAAGATTAAGCAAACAGTTCTGCGGTAGTCCGGCTTTCGATGTGCTTCATACACCGCTTCAAGCTGCATCGAAAAGCCTTTGTTGCCAAACTGGTGCTGCGCATGAAACCGAGCGGAGACGCCTGCAAAACCAACTTATCGTATGTGTCGACGTATGGAAACCTGCATGGTCACCGGCCTGCTGCAGGTGTGATGGCGATCTGCCCCTTCAATTGGGTCAAGTCATGGCTGGCAAACAACAACTGGGAGGTGAGGACGTCGATGCTGCGACAGACAATGGGCAGGTAAGGTAGGTGCTTGGAGAAGCTCTTTCTTCCATGACCCTGAACCTCCAGGCACCTCAGGCAACACTTGAGAAGTGCAGGCAAGAGGCAAGCGCTTCCTCCTTCTGACACGCAGTCGGAAGGAGCTCCAGCGGGGTAGTTTCCTGACATGAAAAGCTCTCTCTGCTGAATATAATTCTGGTCGACCCAACCTCAACCCGATTCATCCCAGCTTCACTCATACCAGGCTGTTGTCTCCGTTCTCCTTCTACCAGAAGCTCTGTCTGGGCATCCTTCCCGTTCCCTGCTACTCACGCTCTCCTTACCAAGACAAACCCACTAAGCAGCCTCCGGCCCGCTTCCTGCCCGTCTCACCACCAATATCTACTCTGCTCTCGAAGCAAAGAGCAGTCCCAAATATTCACCATGGGTCGTTGGGGATATCGTAAGTTTCCGTCTTTCTCTCGATGTTTTGCAGCCATACCGATAATCCTGATAGGCGTCTTCGAGGGCGACAACGACATTGACGTTGCCTGTGCAATCAAGTGCCCCTACGGAACGGGGAAGGACAATGACCTTCGCCTGGTGCAAATGGTTAACCAGACCGACATGATGGCCCCTCCTGAAGTCCGGGAATTCTACAAGACCTCTGAGTACCGCGAGGAGTTGGACGCAATCATCATGTCAACCCGCGAGAAGCTGGACACGGGCCTGGGCGACCAACTTTTCACCACGTACCGTGCTCTTGAGCACGAAGATCAGGGCAAGTATCGGGTTATCATCGTTGGTGCGTTGATGATGCGTGCCGGCGCCCGCATCCGTCAGGCCGATCTTGATCATCTGCGGGAGCTGGCTGAGGGTTTCGCTGGCAGGCATGGCTACGTGTCGCCCATTGCTGAGGATGGCTTCCGTCATGTTGGAAAGGTCCAGTTCCTCGCCGCGCTGGATCATTATGAGGCGGGCACCCCGCGTGACTTTGGCGAGCCCTGGTGCGTTCATCATCTGGACGAACTACTTTGGAACATTCTAATTCGTGTGTGTAGCTGCTTCCAGTGCGGAAAGATCAAGGCGGACATCGGACAAGCGCCCAAGAAGTGCGGCAAGTGTGGCAGAGCCTGGTTCTGCAACGTCGTAAGTTTCCAGACCACTTTGGCACCTTCGTTTTCTCTAATAGTTCCCTAGGAGTGCCAGAAGGCCGCTTGGAAAACCCACAAGCCCGTCTGCAAGACCCTTGAGCAGTGTCGATTTGTCAATGTTTAAGGATAGGAGGGCTACGTTGCTGAGCTGATGAAAGATATGGCATGCACACGAGAAACCGACGGGAGTCTTATCTGAGATCTTAAGGAACAATTGCTTTAAGACCCCTGGAGATCTGAGTCTTTTCTCTCGATTATCTTCGTAGTCATCGATGATTAATGAACGATGGAGACAAAACACTATCATCAGATCCTCTAAACATGCCTATGATACAAATACTTCGGTTGTTTGCGAACCCCATGTTCACTGTCAGATTAGCAATCCTGCGTGACAAGTAATGGGTATGCTCGAGTGCTAGGCTCACGTGGCAAATGTGTAGCTTATCGTGAATACGATTGATGCCTGGCCTTTGAAACAACCACACGACTAAGCAGAACCACTCCCTGCGTATATGGGACCAGCAGGTCTCTCAGACACAGACCTGGAGCCAAGGAAACTGACACAGCGTGAGCCTTTGCTGTACGATTCCATCCCCTTCGAAAACTTGGCCCAGAGACCCAACAACGCGTCAATTTGAATAGCCGAAGATGGGCTGAGGAACGGGCTTATTGAAACTTTTGGTATCTAAATCTACCAAATGAAGCCTCGAGGGACCAGAAGTCATGATGTTGCCCCCAGGTATCGTTACATTCCTCTCCTGATGTCCCACGTGCCGTTGAATGCTCATGTGTGCCATTGCGATGAGTTGGTTATGGGAAGTGACTCTCTATCCTGGATGTTGCAGTCATAACAAGGAGCCGATGACAATACATGTCGCTACTTTCACTGTGGGCGGTGGAAACAAGGCCCATGGCCGCAGGTCAGGTCGTTATCGTTCGCAACAATCTGGTCAGGCCATCGGCTTCCGATGTACCCATACCGTGTGGAATTGGATTCTCGTAAGGGGAAGATCGTTGATCAAACGCACGTCAGAAAGAAAGCTGTGAATGAAAAGGGCTGGTGTGCGCTCTAATTAATGCCTCAATGCTTTGCTGTTGACATACGGATCTGGTGTGGAATGTGTGATATATACGCTACTTAACACCGCCATCAGGTATGGTGTCCAGCGACTATGGTATTATTGAGACGAATGTGCCTTTGTCACTCTCCATTTTCCACAATTTCTTCGTAGACAAGTACTAGTCTAACTACCGATTTTGCTGGCCCCATGCCGTAGTCCATGGTATCATTTGGTCAGAGATGTGACTGCCGCCGTTGCTGAGTATTGGGGCTTTGCGCCTCCTTATTGGCAATAACATGAGGGTGCCAAGTCGAAGGGCAAACGCCGCTGGGCCATACAGAACGTTACTTTCTCAATGGATATGAAGTCTCGACCAATGCTGTGGCAGGTCTCATCGTTGCTACACAGGACCTGAACCACGTTGACTTCAATGCTGTCTGCAGAGTTGACCCATCTCCAACATCGACTCAGTTAATGTTTGGCTCGTATTCAGTTTACATTGTCGGCCAACTCAGAACGACTACATCCCCAATCGAGTTCGACATTGAGACCGTAGGTGGCGTTTCCCGAATGTGGAAAGCTCGTGTGTATCGGGAGACCTTCAACTTCCCTCAACATTTGCCTCACCACCTTCTCTTGCTAACCCGTCGCGGGATAACGACGAAGCTCTGGCATTTCCTTGTTATTCAGCATGGAGACCCTAGACATGACTCCTGATCGATGACTTACTAGATACTGCGGGGTGTTCCCCTGGAGACCTGAGTATGTCGACAATGCTCTCTTGCGGGTATTACCTCATGTATCAAGCTTGTACTTGATATCCGAACGGCCTTCCTCAACTAAGCGCTTTCCTTGTCTCAAATACTTGTATTGCTATTGATCGATCCAGCGCACCTCTCGTCATAAGACCAATGTAACCACCTTGCCCATCGTCTCCTATGCTACACCTCCATCAACCCCCAAAAACTCCCTCGGACCACGAGCATTCTGTCGTTCAAACCACAGACCTAGCCTCAACTAGCTCCAAACAAGACACCCACCAAGCTAACGCCGGAACCCCTATCAAACGCTTCCCCTAGCCCGACCCCGAACGCCTCACGGGAGTCCGAGCACACACACACCACCCTTCCCATCACCAGAAAACGCCGCACCCGGCTCCTGAAGGGGCACGTCCCTTTCGGAGCCGGAGCAGCAGACATTCGCGCAAGTCAGGACTGCATGTCTTCAAGGCTCTCGGACCTTAGGCCAAGTCTCGACATCTTAGCACATGTCACCTCAAAGGCCCGCCCCAATCAGGGACGATGGCACGCTCTAGACGACGGTTGGATGTTGTCTGTAGATCTCCACGCCGATTGAAATCGCGCCCCTGGAGCTAGGCATCTTGGTCCATCTTAGACAAATCAAACCCTTCCAATCGGATGGCCTCGAGATGGGATTTGCAAGGGTCCGCGTTGTCGGACTGCTCCAACGTCGTCCCACTAACACCGAACCGTCATCTCAAAGAGGGCACCCCTCCGTGAATCCGCCTCATCGAGTTTGTCCACATCAGACTTCACGACAGTCGAGGCCGTTCTGCGATGATGAATGTTGACGGAATACTCCAGCGTCGTCCTACTAACAACAAGAGATATCCGCAAGAGACGTGGTATTACCGGCGGCCATCAAGCGCGGCTTTCCAAACCATCTATTCGAAGCGTCCGTACGCGAATGACAACCGCTCAAGGCCAGAACTGTACAATAAATGAAGACACCATCTTCTCTAATCAGATATCACACCATCAAGAATCTATCCAAATCTCAACGTGCATGAACCTGCAAGACATTTAGATGGACTTTCCGTCATCAGTAGCCAGCGCTAGCCAGTGCTAAACATCGAACGACATGTCCCATGCAAGGCACGACGCCGCCCCCTCTCTAAAAAAACAAACCACCTCCAAGACATGGAACCTAACAAAATTGGCTGCAACCCTCCCGCATGGCGAGCGTCGACCAAGACCAACAAAAACCTCTCACTATCCGGCCGCATCATCCGTCAAAAAACCCACACCATCATATCCAGCCGCCGTCCAATCCGTCGTTACATCGCCCACCACCTCCAAGTTTTTTCCTTCTCATCAAATGTCTTGCGTCCGGTCTTGGCTGACCACCAACAACCACCACCAACAAAAAGCAAACTCGCCGCCCCCACCATCCGGAACCTCTCTCCCGCTGCGACGCCGTCATCCAACGGGGAGGGGCAGCAGCGGCCAACCAAGCAAGTGCGAGAAATCTAGACTAGCAAACTAGCAAGTAAACCACTCACTCCAGCAAAAAACGCAACCACTCCAAAATTACAGGCCACATGGCGTGCGGCGGGCGTCCGTTCCGTCGTGTAACCATGTTGCACTGGCCAGTCCAGCAAGGGCCAAGGATACCGTATCCGCGAGCCTCCTCCCCTCCTCGCTCCCCCAAGCTTCAAGGTCCATCCATCCCCCTTCCCCCATGTCGCCGCGGGCACAGCACCCAGTTACCACGCACGACACCCGGATCTCCACCCCCACCCAACCAGCGTCGCGGGAAGTTTCAACAAGGGGGTTCCCCGGCGTGCCGGTTTGCCAGGCCTTGCCTTGCCTTGCCCGCCCGTTGAACTGCTGTCCGCGTTCGTTCTCGATCGGAAAACCTTGCTTGGTGGCGGCGGGCGTGTTTTTCTTCCAGCGGATACCCTTGAGGCAACCCGCTGCGGCGCGGCGTTGACAGCTCAGCCTCCAAGATACACCTCTCTTGTTGGAGCCACGACTCGCCGGCCGACGCGGGGTTGGTTCGTCTATTTGGGCATGCGGGCTGCCTGACGGTGCTTAATTTGGGGCATACGAGAAAAAAATGTCCGTGGTTGGAAAACATCGGATTGTTGCGGCTATTTTTTGAGTGATTCCTTACCGGTGAAGCCGAGGGTCATCAGGTTTCATGACGTAGACATTGGGCGCCGCTCGAGCGCTGGGGACACGCATTCAATCACGCAAGGTATCTGAAGTAAGAAAGTGAGGGAACATGATGCTTTTTGATTCATTACGGACTGAGGTTCGCCAGCTATGTAGCAAAGTCCGAAGATACCAGTCCACCAATATCTCGCATGCCAACGGTGAGTCACGCTTGCATGACGCGCCTTCCCAGTCCACCACTACCATCCACGTAAAGTCCTGAGATTGGTGTCGAACAGAGAGCACCCGAACTCGTCACAGAGGAGTAACTTGTCTCTTTTGAGCTAAATGACGAAGCCGATGCCATGAATAAAAAAGACGACGCTCTCCATGTGGTATCATATCGAAGAAACCGAATCGCAATAGAATGTAAATCCTGACAAAGAAAAAGTGAAAGAATGAAGAATCGTTGATCATCTGTGGTCCGTCCCACTGCTGGTGTATGGCGTAAATCGGAAAAACAGTCGTAGCTGCAGGGTGGGTTGCTGCAGGCGCGTCAGGCGTGTAGCCTCACTGGTCATGACGAAAAGGTTTCTTCCTCATCGGTAAGTGTTTGAAGGGTCATGGGATCACGAAGGCGTCTGGCCTTGTGAATCGCCACGAGGTAGTCGACAAGCCCCTCGGCATCGGCGCGAAGAGACTCAAGCTCCTCCTTGGAGCATCCGGCCGCGGTGGAATCCTTGCCGGGGTAGCGATAAGCAGCAAAGACAATGCCGCGATCGTTGTGCAAGATGTCTTGAGAGCTTGAGCTGCGAGGGCTGGAGTTGGCTGAGCCTCTGCGTCCGACAGCAGTGTGGAAAGCGTGGCCGTAACCGCGAGCGAACTCGCCGTCCTTTGCGTCATCGCTGCGGTACTCCATCCATCCTTCGTGCTTCAGGATCTTGGCTTGAACATTGGCAGAAATGCGGAAAGGGCTGTTGAGGTTTGACAGTCCGTAAGCCGCGAGGAGGCGACCTGTCATGCCTGGCGCTGATTCCACGGCAAGACCCTCCATAGGTCCGAGGAGTGAGTTCCTCACGCTGGATGGCCGTGACGAGGACAGGTCCAGGGACGCCCGGTACGGCGATGACGGAAAATCGGATGCGTACTCAGGCCACAGGTTGACAATGTAGACAAGGTCGAAATTGTGCTTGGCGGCGATCTGAGCCACTTGAAGAGCTCCTTCCTTGGCAACGTCGTCGGCATAAATCGATGAGGTCCGCCTCGAGCGGGGAGCAGAAGATGTCGAAGCCGGGGTTGGAGGCGACGGAGGCGACCTGAGGGGGGCGGGGATGATCGGCGTGTCCGGAACTTCCTCCAATTCTGGCTCCTCCAAGATGTCGTCGTCGGAAAGGGCGAAAAAATCTCTAACGTCTCCTCCCTTGAGGATTTGGCTGGATGACGCAGCAGACCGATGGGACCTAGACTCGCGGGGGCGGCGTAATGATGTGGCCTTGTCTTCTCTCCGACGACGCGTCGCAGCGGCGACGGCCTTTCGCTTGGCCAGGCTCAGCTCTGCAGAATCTCTCGATGATCGCTTTTCGTGAACAGGCTTCATTTCGGGTGATGCGGCGGGGGTGGGCAAGTCGCTACTCATGGCCGACGAGGGCCGGCCGACCTGGGAGCTCTTTATGCTTGAGTCGTCTTCATGGTCGGAGGAGGGTGGGGTGTCAGCTCTCGGAGGTAGTATGACAGAGCTGTGGCGGTGCTCGGGGGAAACTTTATGCATTGCGGGTAGAGTTCTGGGCGACGACGTAGCGCAAGCGGGCGAAGCCGGCAGGCGGCCTGTGGGAGGAGCAGGAAAGTCGAAGCCGCGCAGACTTGCCACTGTCTGAGTTTCTCTGCGTTGATTAAGTGACATGGAGCGGGCTGGGAGGTTGAGGGTGGTTGCGCTCGAACTGCTCAAGTGAGAGATGTGGATTGAGACGCGCTCGGACTGGTTCTCCGGGAGACTTTGCGTGCGCCTTTCATTCTGCGAAGCTACTATGCGCTCATCTCTGGCTTTCATCCGAGAAACGCGGGGACGAATGAACGACGGCTGAGGAAAGCTGTGATCCAGGCTGGCGGTTTTGGGCCCCGTGTACTCGAAGGATGCTGGCGTGGTCTGGATCGTGAGGTCTTTTCTCTTAGAGAAGAGCCTCTCGAGGCGATCAAAACTATTAGGCATGGTGATTGAAGCCTGACACCAGTCGGCTTTTGATGTGTATCTATTAGTGTAAGTGTTGGTGAGTTGCTCTCGTTCTGGGAGGAAGAAGTGTATGCGACAAAGAAGCTGGGTTGACGCGGGGCGCACATACCAGTTAAGAATTATAAGTTAAGAGGAAGAGGTGATGGTGGGACGAGGAAGAGGAAATAAGAAAGGAGTAATCCGTGAGAGGGAGTTTGTGGTAGTCGAGGTGTGAGAGGGAAGGAGCGAGTAAGAGGCCTCGGCCGCAATGTTGGGACGCTGGCTGAGGTGAGGTCACGGTGAGACAAGAGCTCGGCGACCACGACGGAAGGCAGGAACACCCGGGCAGGAACGATTGCCGTCTAGGAAGGAGTCGGGCAAGAGCCGATTACGTGGAGTGAATCGAGTCTCACCGGATCGGCTGTGAGGAATCCAGAACACCAATGGTGACGCGAGGGGAGGAGGGTAATAAGGCGAAGTGCTGAGCACAAGACAAGCTGACTTGATCCTCCTCGCCTGCGCGACGTCGGTTGAGCGTGTTCGAGGGCGATGAGCCGAAGACGGGTGACACAGAGACCCTGATCGAGAAGGGCGCGGGGTGATTGGCCGCAGGACGTGTTTGTGCGATGAAGGTTGTATGACGACTCGGTGAGACAGTGGTCGAGGTGAGATGGATCGCAATATATATGAGAGGGGCCGTCTGCGTTCTGGCTTTGGATCGAGCGAAGTCTGGGTGGTGGCTCGCGTATAAGAAAAGGGAAAGGAGCCTGGTGGAGGAGGAAGGGGCGCAAGACACTAAAGTACGGTAGGTGAGGCCGATGATGGAAAAAGAAACGGGAGAAAAGTGGAAAGAAAGGTGAATTGTGAGCTGTAGTGTAGGTAGGTAAGGTATCGGTTGTGACTCGGGAGCAGACAGGATGAAGCCGATCTGAAAGGGCCGAAGGGGAGGAATTAAGGTATGATACCCCGGAGTCTTGGGATTAGAGAATTAAGAGTCGACCGAAGATCAGCACAGAGCCGAAGGAGGGACACGGTCTTTGAAGGGTCCGGAGACAGTGAAGGCTTTAAGATGCTCGAGGCGTGTTGAAAACCGGAGACAGCCAATGCTGAGGAGGGGGGTGTGATGAAGGAGGCGGCGGGCTGGAGGGACGGGAGGGGAGAGGTCGTCCTCGAGTGGCCCACGTCCACGGAGGTGAAAAAAGAAGACGAAGGAGGGTGTGTGCTCAGATGCAGTGTCGAGAGTGGTGTCGAGAGTCCCGTCTGGGTCGGGTCAAAGTTCGGTTCGCTCTGGGTCCAGGGCCAGGTCCAGGTCCATGTCGAGCTGCCACCCAGCGGACGGGAGCTGCACCTCAGAGATGTGGCTTGTCTTGTCTTGGACGTTTCCTGACTCTGCGGGTGTCTCTGATGTAAGGTGGTTGCTCTGACGGGAGTGGAAGTAGTGGGAGCGGGAGTGGGTGGTGGTGGTGGTTGAGGGAGTACGGCATTAGTAGTAGTACATAAGGTAAGGCAGGAAAGGCAGGTACGGATAGGCAGAAAAAGTTAGTGTCGTGCGTTAGGTGCATCCAGCAAATGGAAAAGGACGGATACGCAGCAGCAGCTGGGAAAAAGGTCACAGAGAAGCTGGGACTGGGACTGGACGAGGGAGTGGAGGACGATGGACTGGCAACTGGGAGAGAGATTCACATCCACGGATGAAGCTAGGGCCAAAAGGTACGTACCGCCCCTAGCTCTGGACTCGGGTGCCACATGCGTCTCCGTCCCAGGGAAGGCGCAGACCGGGGGATGAGTCCGCGGACGGGAGAGGCGACACCACACTGGACCGGACTGGACTGCACCTGGAGGTGGGCAGGAGCAAGTGGGACGCCAAAACCCGTGATGGAGCCGCCAAAAGAGCAACTGCGGACTTTTTCAGTGGATGTGGGTGGAAACGCTGCAAGGACGACAGGGGGGCTCGCTCATGGCTAGGCAGGGATTGTGAAGGGCTCACGGACGTTGTGACTGGCCATGTTTCTCGAGGGCACTCCAAAGGGACGCTCGCACTGACATGGCCGTCGTCGTTGTCGTCGCTGTGGTCGTTGTCCAGGGAAAAAGAGATGCAAAGAGGGGACTCGAGGACTCCATCGTCGCAGGGCCTGAGTCTGGGTCTGGGTCTATCTTCCGTCCGCTTGGGCACCTCACTCTAAGCGACCCAAAGCTTGAGCACGAGAGGGACGAACCAAGATAAGGCGCCTGTTCGACTCCTCAAATGGCAACAGCAGCAAGGTTGAATGCACAGCTCCGCAGGAGTGCGACTCTGGAGTTTCCTGTCTCAAGGTCATTAGGGAAGCAAGAGTCAAGGCACACAAAGGCATTGAGTGAATATTGTCGTGATGGAAGGTAAACCGCGCTCGAGCACGCGACAAGGGTTCATCTGAGGAACGAGGCACGAGCGTTGCGTACACCCGAGTCTTGAGTCTTGAGTCTTGAGTCTTGAGTCTTGAATCTTGAATCTTGAATCTTGCCCGAGGTGATGGTGCAGCAGGACATGAGGACATCAGGACGTGGACGGCATGACATGACATTACCTAGAAAGGCACAAGGAAACAACATCGTGCCTACCTGATCTCACCTCGAAGTGAATAAAGCAAGGGAGAAGGCAGGAACACCCTGTGCTCTGTCTGCTGCTCCTGCTCTGTACCTGCAGACAGTGGAGGCGGCGGGCAGCACGAGGCAGGCAGGAGCCAGGAGGCAGGCGCGAGGAGGCAGGCGCGAGGAGGCAGGCAAGCAGGGCAGGAAGGGGCCAGGTGAGGTGCCTTAGGTACGGCAACTGCATGCAAATGCAAGTGACCACCTGCTGACCCAATCACGTCGCTCCTTTCCTCGCTTTTAGACGCTTCTGTCATTTCGCCCAGACCTCCCGGATCCTCTCCCGCAGCACCTCCATGCATGCGGCATGCCTCTCTCTCTACCTTACTTACGACTGAGGTACATCGTTGCCGACTTATCACAATGTTTCGTTTCGTTTCTTTTTCATCGTCTGCGCCGCATGACCGATTTTTTTCCCTTTTTTTTTTTTCTGCTCCTCCCTGCCCCTCCTCGAATCTTTCCTGTGCCGACCGTTCCCCTCTCTCTTGCGGGACGCGCAACGGGGCCTTGGAGGTCAAAGCAAGAAAAAAAACCACCAACAATGTCACCAAATTTCACGGTCCAAGATTTCAACCTCGAGGCTCCAATCTGGATGGAAAGTCGGCAAACGGCGCTTCCTCCTTTGGGATTGACGAGCCCCCAACTTGAGTGTGCCTCTAAAACTGCCAACCAATCCCGGCCAAGACTCAATCGCCCTACGGAGACTTCTTCACCTTACTCGCCTCTGTGTAACCCCCGTATTCCCTGTCAACGGCACTGTCAGTGGAGGGATGACATCCACTCGCCGCTCCTGACATCAATCACCACTCGAATTCTCCGTCTTCGTGCAAGCAAACCCCGGGTTCCAGCGCAAAAGCCACGCCGCCGCCGAGACCACGGAATAAACATGCGGAATAAACTCAAGACGAGACAAAAGCTCCTGAATCAATGACCTCAGAACATCTGGTGCGATGCTGCAATTACAGCGCGCAGCCAGCCGGCCCCCGCAGAACCGCACAAGAGGTCGCTTATCCGTTCGGACACGCCATGCACGCAATACTTTATGGTTCTCCCTGACGAGCAAATTGTTCAAGCCGGCCAAACCCCCGGAATCAGTAATGGTTCGGGCACTCAGTGCGCCGGTTCGACGTGATGACTTGAGGATCGACTCCCCTCGACCCCGGCTCCCGACCAGTAGCCACTGAAGTTGAAGCTTTGACATAACGGCGTCTCTTATTGACAGCACCGCACACGCACCCAAGCACACCTCTCTCGCTTGCATGCAAACCGAGGCGGGCTCGAGCGTCGTCTTCAACGCCGGGTGCCACACTGCCACTGCCATTTCCATGGTCACGCTGCTGCAAGTCTGCACTGGTGACTGCTGGTCCGCATCCTGTTTGCCTGTCAAGCCGACTGACACGACTCGCCTCATCGTCAGAGCGCAAGAGGGAAAACTCCCTTTGCCCAAAACCCAACGGCTAGGGCCAGGCAACGCTCGCGGCGCCCCTCGAGCAAGTTGCATCAGCCATCAATTTGGGCTCAGGAGTGCAGATGCAACCTTGCTCCCAAGGTATAGATCGCCGCCGCTAATGCGAACGCATAACTCGTTGACAACATCAGACGAGTTTTTCTACGAACTTCATCGCAACCATCGCAGACCTCGCACCCATAATCTGTTCGCCCCGCGTCAAGCACGGAAAACCCAACCCAAGTCTTATTCCAACCCTCACATGCTCGCTACTTTGCGCTTTGCTCTTTGCTCGGCTACATCAAGCCCTCGGCGTATCGTGACTTCACCACAGCATATGGCACACGCGACATGTCCGCACCCTAGCCGAGTGTCGTGACCGTTAGCTGTCTCCAACAGCAATAGACCGCCAACAAGAAAAAAAAAAAACGCGAAACCCCCACTAGCATGCTACCCTAGCTTCGGAAGCAACTCATTTCTGCCCATACGTAATTACATTTGGGCCTTGCAAAATCCCGACTGGTCTGACAAATTGAACCCTTGACCAAAGGTCTCCATATCAATCTTCGCCGAGGCTCCGCATTACCAAAACGGCCACTGCTGTTGCCGAACGCAGCCACGAAGTCTCCTTTCTGTCATCAGCCCAGTCCAGCCACCAATGGCTTGGTTCTTGTGACGAGATGACACTACCATACGGCCGCGAAACGTTCCCGATGCAGGGTCCAGAATTCAGATTTTAGGCCTTCATCGACTTGGATCAACGCCAACGACGGCTGCTCGGGAGTGCTAGAGCTCCTGATGATCCTTGCGTCGCACCGATGTGCTCCCTCACTTTTAGCTCGCGGTCCGACGCCAGCTCAGACAGCCAGCGGCTCTTGCGACCTCTGTTGCACATTCAACTTCTACAACTTCTATTCGTGCGGTCCGG